CAGCTACATATATACAGCATTGGTTTACAATATAGCAACTTTCCAGCAAAGCTTGATTAAAGCATTTATTTGTTAACACCAGGTCAAAAATCAGCTCCCTCACCTAAATGCTATTTCTTTCATTTCAATATTGTTGGAGCTTCTTTTTGAGGAGCTCCCTACTTCCTGGGCTGCTGGATGAAAAAGGTCCGCTGGAGGTGGGGCTTCTCCACTGATGGCCGCATCCTACTGTGTCTCACACCCACAGGGGTCTCTGGGAAGCTGTGACTCAGCTGCAAAAGGAATTAGACGAAAGTTTATTATCCAAAGGCCAAGCTTCTGTGGCCAATCCAGTTTGTTTGGTGGCAGGTAAGAACGTGCCAAGTGCAAGTGGCTTTAACGAAAAGCTTACCTTGTCAAGAGTTCCTCCCAGAAGAATGCCAACCTGCTGCATTCTGGTAAAGGTGCCAAGAGACCTGCTGCAGGTTTTAAAGAAAAGTGAAACTTTTCAATCAATTATAGAATGTACTTTTTTAATTAGGTACATTATTCCTTGATGTTTAACAATTGAACCATGTTGCTAAATGCTGCACATAAACAACTAATGCCCTGCTTAGTTCATCTGACCTTTTTGTCTCTGGTGTCCCATGAGTTGCACCATCTTCCAAGCTTTTCTTGCCTATACGTTTACCTCCAGCCTTCACTGTTGAGACAAACCAGAGAGCTGAGATACAGTTCTCAGACATGAATGAATTAGAAAAGCTTCATGCACAGGTAGTAAAGTTTAGGTATTAGACACCAAAAAAGAAAATGGAAATATTAGTTTGATAAACAAATCTGAATCTCTGAAAAATAACACCTAAGATTCAGAGGATAAACTACAGAAGTAAAAATATTTACTCAATTAGATGTATACAATTTAAAGATATACGAGTCATATTTGGCTAAAACCCAAAAGCTACTAATATTGTATTAGCAAAACTAAGCTACAGAGCACAGCTTGAAGTTTGAAAATAAAATAGCCTAAGTTAGCCTAACAAATAGTGTACACAGAGACATCATTGTACTTTAAACAAACTTCAGAAAAAACGGGCAGAGACAGTCTTAATAGAAAAAAAGAAATCAAGTATTTGTCATTAGAACATTGAAAGCATTAACTTGAGACAGTGAGGTTAAGACAGTCGTAAACAGCACCGCGCTTGTGTTAAATTAAACCAATCAGTGCAGATGCAGACTCAACACAATCACGTCAATCAAACACCACGGTCTGTCTCACGGTTTGGTTCACGGTTTGGTTCCAAACTTTAAATCCATTCTTTAAGTGAAATACTTGGATCAAACTTCAGAATGCACAGGTCTGCACAGGCCTGCTTTGGCTCAGAACGGCTCTAAAAGTTGGCCACGCAGTGAAAACAACAGGACGACGTCGTTTTGTTTGTTGAACAAAAACGTTTGCTTAAAAAATAAAAATAAATAAAGGAGTTTAAAAGAAGGAGCGTGTGAGCAGCGTGTTTACCTGCAGGACGATGACCAGCTTTAAGGACAGGACCCTCCTTACAGCCAAATTTCGACATTTTCTGTGACATTTTCACACAGCAAAACAATCCAACGTAGAGTAGCGATACTAGTGAACTAAAGGCTCGCTCCGTTGTTTTTATGCTAGCGGTGACGTTACCGGAAGTATGCTGTCGAGGACACGCCCCTCTTTAAACTGGACACTCAACTGACTCTGATACTGCTAGGTAGAACTAAAGTTAATTAGACTATCGCCAAAGTAACAAACTACTCAAACTATTTCTACTTCTACTGGTAATAATGATGAAATAGAACAGCAGATAAACTAAACAAATTACTAACTCTAATTAGACAACTGTCTAAGTAAATTTATTGATACAAATAATCAAAGTGAATAACTATCATAATTATGATTTATAAGATAGATATCCCTGGTCCTTTAAATGTGTGTTTTTCCATGTATTCTCTATATACACATATGTAGCCCCTGTGATGGATAGAAGATTTTTTTTTTTTTAGGTTAAGTTATTGTTTTTTAGAAATGTATTATATTTGATTTAGGTCTGAAAGTGATGTCATATACCGGGAAACACAAAAAAACAAAACAAAACAAAACACAAAAGTAATTAAAAAACAAAACTGACTTTATTATTTGAACACAGTTGTTCTATGATGCCATCTTTGTCCACATACTTCTTCATATATTCATATATCTATAGATTTAACATGGCACATGTTTCTATTTTTTTTTTTTTTTACCAGTGCTGATGAGTTTTGACCAGGAAACATGATTTTATTTTTTTCTGTATTTACAATACAATGACAGAAATGTACAAGACTCCATGGCATGACACAAGTTCAACATTAGGTACAGATACTATTTCATCCCTCTGTACATTCAAACATTACTGGGCTTCTTTTTTTTAATTCCTTGTTGGTTTTCATCCATTTTGGCTTCAACACATACACATTCCCACATCTCAGTCCTCACAGCGTTTCTTTGCTCACATGACTCACAACTTTCTCCATGCTATCACAAGTGACAGGTTTCCTAAAGAAAATAAAACTAACATCTACACAGAGCAGGATGCAGCTTTAGTCACACAAGTGTCCAAGTTCTGCTCTCTACTGACCGCCATCATGATTCCATCTTCTGCTCCGTTAAAAAAAAGTTCATTAAAAAAACATTCCATGATTTCCTTCTTTGGCACACATTCCTTCTTTCCATCTGTAATCAGTCAGTTGAACTCCTCCCTCTCTGAACACACACACAAACACACTTAAAAAGCCAAGTTCGTGAGAGAGTTTGTTTCTTCTGTGCTACTGGCTCTTTTTGACTTTGCGGCAAGGTGAAGACATCCAGGAAATTATAGTCAGGGATGAAGGAGACGCAGGACCTGCAGACCTATACCCAGGAGTCAGGAGAGCCGGGGTACTGCTCTGGCCTGAGGGTAGGCCTCCGCGTGCTGGCGTAAAAGTCCACATAATTGGTAGTTGCTTTCAGTCCATGAGGCTGGGAGCTGTAGTCAATGGCCGGTGGATAGGTGATGACCTCCTCTAAGTACGGCTCGTCGTAGCCGTGTGGATGCTGCAGATACATTCTGTAGGTATCGTAGTTCCTCCGCCCCACCTCGTCTGTGTAATACACAGGCTGAGGAAAAACAGCACAGGGTTAGTGTTGATCAACGGACTTCCAAATGAAAAAGATGAACATACAGGCTCACCAGACAGGCTTTTATTTTGTAAGGTACAACATCACCTTCCAGCGCCTGTCATAGCTATATTTTATCTGAGATTTACCTTCTCACCTTCCTGAGTCCACCTTCTTATTTTACTGAGAAGGTGGTTCGCAATTTTTTGGCTCGTGACCCCATTTTGACATTACAAATTTCTGGTGACCATGATCACGTTTGTTATACTGTGTTGTAAATACGGCTTTAGTTTAGTCATTGTCACTTTTAACTCAACTTTTTTTATATATATTATCAATTACTACACATATCAGGTTGCCCCATTTGAATTCCAGTCAACCAAATGTGGGGTTGTGACCCAAAGGTTGGAAAAAAAACACGCCTCTACCTATTCCTTAGCCCTACCTTCACCCAGCCTGAATCTGTGTCAGGGTGATAATGTATTTACTGCTGGCTACTTATCTCTTGACATGTGATTTGCTGAGAGTGATGACACCACAGTCTAGTTGGCACAAATAAAATATTCTGCGGCTGTAGTGAACATAATGAATGTGAGCGGTCTGAATGAAGCAGGCTAATGACTGTCCACACACATTAGCTGGTCTGAATGTGATGAGAAGACGGCACGGGAACACTCTGTGTCTCCTCATCCTGTCACTGTAGAGTTATAAGGGCGGGATATTTGGTGCACACACACACGTCCATCACTGACACACCAAGTACCGATCCCAGCAGTCACATTCACTTTAGACCAGACAATAGCTGATGCTGTGGGTCATTCACAGCCCAGTGATTTATCTGCAGCAGTCTATGGGTGAATCTCTTTGTGCCAGTGAAGCAAGATGAATGAGCTGCTTTCTCCCAACAGGTTTACACTGTGCTCTGGGAAACATCTTGAATCAGGTTCTATTTTTAATCCAGCCTTGTTTCCAGGCATTCACAAAACCTGGTCCACACCCTCCGACTGATTCTTGACACTAACGACCACGTGGGTCGCTTAACAGTGGTATCAGGTCTATATTTAACACTCAGGACCAACTGGATCTAGGATGTTTATGTCTATAATTAAATCAATGCAGTACACAAACATCATCAGATCATCTTCATCAGATCTATTTAACACATCCTGGTAATGGTGATAGTAAATCACTTGAGATTCAGCTGGGATTCCCCATCACTAAACAACAGTCGGTTGTTCATTAATTCTGTCCTGGCAGCTTGGAAATATTAAAACAATTAATTCATCTTCTGCCTCTTAATCGCTTCAGTGATTACAGGGGCAGCTGGAGCCGATCCCCTCAGTCGAGAGAAGAGAGCGACACCCAGCAAAGTGATCCAGTTCATCACAGAGCCACATATAATCCATGAATCGTATTAATTTATTCCTGCATGTTTTTGGACTGTGGGAGGAAAACCTCACAGAGACTGGGAGAACGAGCACCTCGAGTGAAAACAAGCAGGAATCAAACCAGCAACTGTTGACCTTCTTGCTGTAAGACAATACCCACTAATCACTTGTTCAATTGTGTTAAAGTAAAGTAAGTAGTAGTACTAAAGTAACTGAACTTTAACTTATTTAACAAATCAGTGTCACAATTGTAGGTGAGTATAAACCCTTCAGGACTGTATACTGAGGTTTAGCAGGATATTATCAGGATGTGATTTTTGGACCAGAGAACCTCATGTTACATTCACCTGTGTTCTTCTGGGCTCTTCTCTTGTTGGAGATGTGTAGTAATAGGAAGGTTTTCCAGACCCTGAAAAACAAAAGATGGGGAAAGAAAATGTTGCCGTTCATCAAAAACTGTGAGAAATTGCTGTAAATGACTTCCTTTCACATCGGTCTGCACATCTCTACAGGGCAGATGTCTGAATCCATGCAGATCACACTTTACTTTACTGAGCTGGAGATAAAAAAGCACCACATTTACAGAGTGGGCCACTGGAGTTATGTTGTTTACGTTGCCCATGGGAAGGATATTTTCTTTGGCACTCCATCCATCCAGTGGAATTTCTAAAAGCTAATTTACAGTCTGCTGTGTGGAGGCTGTGGCTGGTTTTGTTTACTTTGTTGCCCCTCCTTCTCCTCTGCCTCTGCCAACCAGCAAGGGCCACTGGGATCTATGGTTTAGATGTTCATGGCATGAAGCCATTCTGGTGTTTTTCCTGCTACTGGCTGCTTGATCCAGAACAACCCCAGCACACTAACATCCATGAGGTTCTGAGGAACCACCAAAACTGAGTGTTCTTAGGATGAGAGGGTTGTGGTAAAGACGCTGAGGACGGTAACGCAGCAGACCTGAGGCTGTGGTCACTGTGGAAGGTTACTGACAAACAATCGTTAAATCTTTAAATGAGCCCTCCAGTTGTCCACTTGTGTCCTGCACGTACCTGTGTACTGATTTTTATGAATACTGATGTCTCCTTGGTAATTATAAAATTGCATAGTTGACTGTGATCTCTGATAATCTTTGACTACGTCTCTATGCTCTCTGATGCCCAACATGGCAGGAGACGACGTGGCACTGGCAGCTGCAGAAGAGAGAGAGAGAGAGAAAAACAACAGTTCAACATTAAATTCCGGAGGTTTCTATTTTCATCAGGTTCTGCCTGGGCTTGAAATAAAACCCTACCAGGGTGGTTGACTGGGGACAGTTGAGTCGTGCTGGTGGGCAGAGTGGGCTGGGACTTGAACCGGTCTCTTTCCAGTGTTGACACAGGAGTGAGGAAATGGTTTTGGTTCCATCCGTCCTGTTATGGAAGCACAGCAGGAAAGTGATGGTATGAATTATTCAAACAGGTCTAAAGGCTGTAAAATACATCTGGCTGTTTTTCATTGGTTACAGGGTAAAAAATACTGGAAAATTCCTGGTACTGTGTGGTCCAATAAAAAGACTCAGTTTAGGTAACGCTGTGTCAAAGGAACAAGAGACGGTACCAATATCAACGCGGTCCAAAACCTGAAGTTTTATTAAAGTTGTTTCACGTCCAAAACTTGCACAAATGGGAAAATATACAAAAGTATTTCCACTAAAGTAACCATAAAATAAACGTCAAACTTTTAAGCTCTAACATAATGTATATTCCAGAGGCTGTGACAATTCCTAAGACACTGGTTCCCAAAGTGGGGAGAGAATCCCTTCGAACAGTCGCACAGTTATTTAAAGGGGAGCACAGCATTTGTGAATTCATTTCCATGGACCAGTGAGAACAGCAGTTTTTGCAGAACCTTATGACTTACTGTAGTACTCAAGCAAGATACCTCCAGCTGGCAGTACATTAGCCATCTGTCCAAGTTCTTACCTTTTTATAGATGGTCCGCAGATCCCTGTACTGCCATAATGTGTTCAGCACCTGAGCAGCAGCCTTCACCACCTTCATGGAATACCTGAAAACATAAATTATCATTATGGTTTTACATGAAATATCCCCTTGTATTTCAATACTGCAAACCAAGGCTTTTCATTACCCTATACTGCAAATATCATCCATCCATTCTCTATCATTTATCCCTTCACAGAGTTGTGTAGGGAGCTGATAACAATCCTAGAAAGCACCACAGGAGGGCGCAGTACACTTAATTCCCCATATTTTTTTTCAACTCTAGTAGACAGTTCAGTTTGTTTTAAAGCAGAACATTTTCTGCATATATCAGACCAGAAATAGCTGCTGCAATCATTCCATAGGGACATACGATTCAGATGCACACAAAATCACCTTCCCTGTGGCTATGGACTCTCTGTCCTCACGCACTTACACCCTCTGACTGGGTGTGTGTGTGCGTGTGTGTGTGAACTAGCTACTTATCCAGGACTATTTTTGGCATTATTTAGGACCAATAACCGTAATAGTTACTAAAACTGTGACCTGATGACACATCATCTGCCTAAAGTTAGGATCTAGTTGAAATGTTGCTACAAAAAATGTTAGGTTGAGGTCATTAAAATTTTTTTTCTGCTCCAAAAATAATTTACATCACCTCTCTCTATCTCTCTGTATATTTATATAACATATTGTGTACAAAAACGTATTAATATACTGTAGAAAGAAAAATGTAAACAATCAACCAGTACTGATTCTGAGCAAGAATGAACCAGTAATTAAATATAAAAATAAAAGTAAAGTTCCAACCCAACGTGAGATTTAGTTTCACTGGTTAACTAAGTGACTTGTTTGTCCTGGGTCTGTTCCTGCAGTCCACTAGACGATGACTTCATGTCTGGACAAATAGCCCATCACTGTAACACACCTGTCACCTCTGCCCTTGGTGATGTTGACCAGCTTCTCGATGCCGCCCGTGTCGGCCAAGGCCTTGGCGTTCTCCATGTTTTTGCTGGTCACTTCGTGCAGGGTGCAGCAGATGGCGGCCACGGTCTCGTCTGACAGCAGGGTGGTGTTTCCTCCGGGGAGACGGTTGACCAGGTCTCTCATGGCATATTTCCCTGAGAGCGGGAGAAGAGAAGAAACAAAGATAGTAGAACATAGAATAACCTAAAGCTGAAAAATCATATGTGAATATTTTTGTTTTAGATCAACAGAAACAATATATATGTGGATATTTCCCCATATGAAATAGTGATTGATAAAGATAAAAAATATATAAATATGTCTTATAAACTCATATATCACCCAGCAGTGTATATGTGGACGATAAAGTCACTTTATAAAATATATTTTATATATACTTTGTTTTTTTTATATAAATTATAGATGTGTTATCATGTGTATTCACTGCACGAAACACCTGAAAATAACACTGCAGTTTCCCTCCCCCTCCCTCCTCCTCCTCAGGCACTGACCCTGCCTTTGTGAAACTAACTCCTCATTAACGCCACCCGCTGAGAGAAAGCACATAAAAAGTACTTTTTCATTTAATGAGACCATTTTATAGAACGGAAAAGTTTGGAATAAGATAAAAGTGGAGAATAATCACCAAGTTTTAGTTTAAAATGTAATGTTACATTTAAGAGTACATCATTTGTTATCAGGCATTATTAGCAAAGCACTGAACTATTTCAGTTGCACAATCTATATGAGCTCATTACTCCACTGAACTTTTTCTTCTCCCAACCACAGCTCTAACCCTGGCAGGTTGGAGACAAGAGTTAAAATGTTATTTGAGCACAGATGGTCAAATGATGTATTTGTAAAATTATTTAAAAAACACACAATTTCATCCATTAACAAATAATGTGTTGGTTTGATGACGAAAAGCTGACAACTTCCAGCAGTTCCTTCAGGTCGACTGCAGGTTACACTGGAAAAACACTCCTGGTTCCTTTCTGTCTAAAACATTTAAAAATAAACCCCTAACCTATGAGTTCCTTGTTCCTGACATCCAGTGCCATGTTCCTCAGGGCCGTGGCTACAGAACACACCACCCGGTCGTTGTCCATGCGCAGCAGTTCCACCAGGATCGGCAGTCCTTTCTCCTTACGCACGGCCGCTCGGATATAAGCTGCAAACTGTTCACACAGACGCCACAGGTAAAACACTAATCTGATGGAAAGGTGTTTAACATGGAACCTATGATATAAAAACAGACAAACACTGATTTCGTACCTTCCAGTTTCCGGCCGACAGGTTCTGAAGAGAGCCAGCTGCTCCCTCCAGAGTGGCAGGATTGGAGCTTTCAGCGAGCAGAGTCAGGTAAGGCTTGACGACTGCAGGGTGCCACAGCATCTCTGCCCCTTTAGGAGATTTGGAGATGCCAGGGATGGGTCCCACTCCGTCCCACTGAGCACAGAAATAGAGTTTGTAGAACTTTAGGATACACATAAGTACCAACAAGTTCAACTCATTGAGCTCCAATCAATTAGAGAATACAGACCACACTGTGGTTTAGCTTTTACTGTAACCTAATATCAAACAGACCTTACATTAATCTGCTGATCATGTTTAGCCTAGCCTTTTGCTATTTTTTCACTTACTGAGTCCTCCTGAGAACTCTTTTTCTTCTTCTTCTTCTTCCGGCCCCAGCAGCTAGAATCCTCCTCCTTATTGGCCGACTCGCTGTCCAGCAGGCCGTCCACCTCCTGCCCTCCAATCAGTCGGGATGGAGCCATCTCCAGCTCCAGACGATACGATAAGTTCCTCAGAGTGCAAATACAGTTCTCCACAATCTGAGTACAAAAAAAAAAACAAGGTTGGTGCATGTTCACTGCCTGATAAATCAATTAAAATAAGGAACTGTGGAACCTCTGGATGAAGCATTTAACTCCACGCTGTTAATTTCTGTAAAGGACTGAGCTCACAGAATGTCAGCGTGCATATTCTGGGGCTTTGATTAATTGAATGGACTCACTCCACTGAGGCTTCGGTCTCCATGCTCCAGATGAGACGTTAATGTACTGTATAGCAGGTCAGTGATCCCGTGTTCTAGATTGGATTCTAAATGTCAATCACTCTACGGAATGGCTTACACTTCAGGTGATGCATCACATGAAAGAGATTCTGCTGAATCCTCCCTGATTCAGACTTCAGCCATGAAATGAATCACACAGGGTTAGAGGGATTACTCCGGAGAGACTCTCTTATCGTGTGGCTGCATGTTTCCGTCTTGGCTAAGTGTGTGTAGCTCAGTGTGTGTGTGTTGTGTGTGTGCGCAGGGGTCTTTGCAAGTGTGTTACCTTGCTGTCGAAGTCAGAGGTGTTCACACAGGCTTTGATGACGTACAGCAGTGAGTCAACCAGACCCTCACAGGTACGCATCTGTTTTCTGGCCTCCTCTCCAGCTGAGCTCAGGTTTCTTTGAACATGAACACATAAAAACGAGTCAGCTTTTTCACTTTCATCAATATGCACTATCAATAATCTGAAAGAAGAGTTTCTGAGTAAAGAGAGACGTGAGTCAGCTTTTTCACTTTCATCAATATGCACTATCAATAATCTGAAAGAAGAGTGTGCATTTCGCAGAATAAACAGATACGGGAGTGTTTGTTTATAGTCTGTCCTAACTGACTGTTATCACTGTCATCACAGCTCTTTTTCTTAATTCATTTAAGATACATTTGTTGACTAATTTCAAACACCAGATAAAGCAAGAATATTTATTTTACGCAAAATAAATTTGTAAATTGCAGTGCATTTACACATCACTGTGAAAATACTATGCAACGTGACTATATGTCATCTTAACTGACGGCTAACACGTTGCAAACGAGTTGCAGTAGCGTCTGCTATCCACAGGGCGGTGCTGGTGCACAGTGAGTTCCTCAGGTGGTTACCTCAGACAGCCTGTGGTGTTCCTCAGCACCAGGGAGGAGTGAAATTTCAGCTTGTGGTCGTCGTCGAAGGTGGAGTTGCTCCATCCAGAGTGAGGGATGATCACAGTGTTGGTCAGAGTGGTTAAGGCGTCCCGGATGATTGTCATCTTCACAGCGTCACACGACGACAGGTTCCACAGCACTCCTGTGGAGACGACCCGGGGCAATAACAAGAGAGAGAGAGAGACGCAGAGAATCGTCAGACGTGCAGAACCCTCCAGTTCTGTCAGCTGTCAGTTGCAGTTAGACGAACTTCACACACAGACAGAGAACCTGAGCTTTTAATAGTTCAGCTTCTGTCCACAAAGACACAACTCCCCAAAATAGGCAGAGACAGACACAAGTGCACAAAACCCCCAGCATCAAGACGTCACTTGTATCAAGTTCCATCACTGCAGAGAATCCTTCAGGGGAAGAAACAGTAAAAAAAGAAAAAAAAAAAGAAAAAAGAAACCGCTCTAATACAGTCATGTGAAATGTCTGAGTCAGAATAATGGAAAGTATCTCCAAAAAAAGTCAAATATACTGGTGGTTAGGGCTGATAATGGGGCACAGAGCTGGCAGCTCTTTGATGCTGCATCTGTTCAGGATTAAGCAGCATGAAGCATGTTCTTTTAATTAGACGGCTCTCGATGCTGGGCTTCCACTAATGCACGGGCTGATTCTGCAGGGCAGCAGTAACCTTGGAGAAGGGGTAATGCAGCAGACGCAGCACTAACACACACACACACTGCATGACTGTTGGTCTCATCTCAGCGTTGACTGAACAGCAGGCATGTGTTTTGGACTGGTCCATGACTTATGCATGACGTCTGATGTGAAGCTGCCGTTGTTGTGCTCTTTCCGAATGCTGACAAAAGAATATTGAGAGAGAGAGAGAGAGAGAGAGAGAAGTCCCAGGGGCTGCTGGATACTAATCTTGTTCTTCAAATTAAGCTCATTTATTTTGTCCCGTTTAGTTTGCCTTGTAGTTGATTTTTATTTATTTATTTTTTGACCCATTTTTGAACTGACTTTTAGTTGCTTTAAGGCTACATTCATTTTCTTTTCAAACTTTTTCTTTATACTGAATTTCTTAGACAATCTTACCTTCTAGAAATGATTTACAAAAGCCTTTAACACTAATATTGTTTGTCTTTTGACTCATTTTGTAGCATTAACTACTGAACTGTTAACTGTTAACCGCTATCTGCGTACTTATTTAATGCTAAACTGCTAACCATTAGCAGTTAACTTCAGTTGCTGCTAACCCTGGTTCCAGTTGGTGTTTTTACTTCATAAAAGTTGTATACTATTTTCTGATGTATAAACGTGTATTTTCTTCGGCCCTTTATCCACCGGTCAAAAATCCCATTATCCCCGGCTCACTGACATCAGGCTGTTGTGTGCAGTTGGAATGGATACAATTGGCATTTTGTCCCAGGTTAAATGACCCAGCACTGGACTGTCTGTGATCAGCAGTAACATAAACATGACACTGCAGATGACCACTGTTTTTCACCATCTACTACCTTTTTGTGGGGAGATTAGTCACGGGGCACCTGCACCTCTTCCACTGTGACCATCTTAAAGTGCATTGTTCCAGCATCAATAAAAAATAAGTGTTCAGTTGCTGATGAGGTTGAAATAAGGGCTGAAAGTAAAGATAAAACTGTACGCTGATATTGTCTCCACTTCTGCTATTCGCTGTTGCTCTTGGGTTGTTTATGGTGCATCTGTGGCGCCGAAGAAAAGAAAAAATGAGGTCCTCAAAGGGCCTCAGGAGATAAGGTCATGTTTTTTAGCAGAGTCTAAAAGCTTTTTTATTCCTGATATTTTTTTAATAGAAAGGAAATAGGAAAATCTCACAGGGGGAGTTAAAAAGAAGAGAAAAACGTAACTTCCTTACTTTTATTCTTCGCATTTTTATTCTCTTGAGACTCGCGTTTCTCTCCCTCGCTACCCACTGCTGATGATGTCAGACTGTAATTGTGCTCAGGAGTCTAATTCCAACACACCACAGACAAGAAGCTACGATGACAAACGCAGGTTTTTTTTTACCAAACGTGGTTTCAGGCAGCATTCCTATTAAGACAAACTCAGAGTCAAATTAGAGTTTTAAAATCCTTCAGTGAGTTCTAGTTACTTCATTATTATTCATTTAAAGGCAGGGAGTGATAGCAGCAGTAGCAGAGTTATGGTGTGTTCCAGAAAAACTGGGCTGAAACTACAAGAACATTGGATTGTTTGCATGTTTGTACGTAGTCTAGATGGCTAGTTATGACCTGACACTGAAACTAAAGCCAAATGTTAAATGTCTTATAATGACATATAAAATAATCTTTATCTTTATCTCTATTGCAAATGTTAAATGTCTTATAATGACATATGAAATAATCTTTATCTTTAAAATGTCATTATACAAATCAATATTTTTCTTGTTACAAAAAAGAACAAAAATTCTGTCAACACAAACACAAGTCCATAAAAATCCAACCTGTAAATAATCATTGTCATACTTCCTCTGTTTCATTCTACTTTCCCACTGTACATGGAACTTATGTAAGTAAGCTAGTCAGCAAGTCGCCTTTTTTTTCCTCAACATGACTCCACTGAAATGCTCTGGCGCCCCCCCCAGGGGAGTCGCTTGAAACACAAACAACTGGTCCAAAACCACACTGTGGAAATGTAATTTCTCACATCACAGCTAAAAAGGTAAATTGACCTGCATGAATCATACGAGTCTGTGGGAGATTTCTCTGCTCAGTACAGTGGTCTCTGGGGTCCTGGCTTGGAAACAGTGACCTCAATTAAAAACTCAACGTGAGGCCCAGCCTAACAGTCAATCCAGTAGTAATCTAATGGGAGCAGACGGTGGCAGGGGTTAAACAGACTGTGAAAAAAAAACAGTAAGGTTGGTGAAAATGTCTTAAACAGCTGTTGGAACCTGGTGGTTGAAGAGCTGACCTCAGTGACGACTGCTCACTGGAAGGACATTTATTCTACCAAAACCATTTGGATGTTTCATTTGCAGAAGGAATTACATTATGTATGTGGCCAAGAAAAGGTTTGAATACGTTGATAAATATGTTTTTGGGGGACATTTTCTCACTGTGTCACGGCTCAAAGTTCACCCAGGTGTCAAACTGTCGCGCAGACAAAGTTCCAAACCTGGGTGAATTTCAGAATTGAGCATTTGCACACTAACGTGTCTCTTACATAACACTGAGGTGATACTGGAAAAAAAAGACAGACACCAAGCTCAACCTCAAGCTGTCCATCACTCTGGTTCCACTGCAGTGACATTTCCAGGAAATACCACAGTGAGGACTACAGCGACAGTTCATCTGACTATAATAATCATAACTTATGAACTCAAAGACCCTAGAGACATATATGCTGTAATATATTATATAGTAATGTGAATAAATGCAATAATATCCATATATAAACCTGTGACAATATTTACTGTCTCATTCTCTAAATGTTTGAAGCGTCCACCGATGATCGTCGTCTTCTGAACCAAACATCTGTGTGTCATTGACTTCATGGTAATTCACGGTACTTTAAGGCAGGATGGGAAAACGGTCGACAAACAGCACAGGCTTATTAACCTCTCCGTTTTTGGTGGAGATGAACTGGAAACTTGTCAATGCTGCATCGACTGAGCCTCAAATAAACAGCTGGGCTGGTGATTGTGAGAGCGGTGGCTGCTGCTCAGCTTCTCACCGCATCACTGCGCGGTTGGATTTACTCTTTAAATTAACTTTAAGATTTGTTTTTCTTCTTTCCCCGTGTTCTTTAAAAGAGAGGTTGTCAAACCACTGGGATGTGGTCCAGCAGTGGCCATATGGCACGAAGAGAGAAAAAAAATCTCAACATTTTATTTTTCATTTTATGGATTACCGGTGTAGTGATGAAATGCTGTATGTGTCCCAAGTGTCCCAATTACAGACCCCCTCATGTTAAGAGGCTTGTCAATCAAAAGTGTTTTTCACTCTGTTAAATAACAATACATTTGTACTTACAGTCCTACCTATAGTACAGGTTTATTACGACAGTGACTCTCACAGGCCAAGCCCTCATTGTTTAATATGTGACATTCAGCATTTCACCACAAGATGTTGCTAAATCCTACTCAGTGTATCTAACCCCCCCACCACCACCACTTCCTTGTATAAACTGAAATGTGTTAGGATGTTTTATTATAGAAGACTTGTTTTGACATAAAGAATCTGTTGTTATAATACTCACCCCAGGTCACAGTAAAAAAAGAAAAGTCACAAATGACACACAGGGGAGGCTACAGAAACACTCCACACCCACTGGAGGCTATAACATTATTATTACAACTACAAAACATGTGGACAAATAAGAGACTCTACATTAAATATTTAAGGGTAAAAGTGCTGTGTTTCTGTGTGTGTGTGTCCATCTGTGTGTGTGCCGGTGTCAGGTGTCTCCGGCGTTCACTCACAGCTAATGACAGTGTGACGTCAGCGAGTGGGTTTGGTCTTTGATCTGCTCTTTCAGGCTGTTTGACGACAAAGCAACAACCGCAGCAGCTGCAGGAGCCGCTACCAAACAAGGCCAGAAAAGAGGCTAAAACTGTGTTTTTGGCAACTTGACCCTCTGACACGAAACAACCGATGGACATCTACACAAACGTAACACAGCTGACACCTGGACCTCAGAGGAGCTGAGATGAAAACACCGACTCGATGAGGAGCCGCCGAGTCCTGACGGTTCACACACAGGTCAAGTGTAGTTCAGCACCTGTGACGTGACGTTCTCAAACATTTGGTTTACACAAGTCTTAATTCTACTTGGTTAGTTTTGTTATCGTCAAACAGTTCTAGGCTAAGTTTTACATATTTACAGCTAGCTTAGGTGTGTATATATATATATATTTGTATATATATATATAGCAAACCATCAGTTATTACACTTTCGTATATATATATATATACATATAAAACCATCAGTTATTACACTTTTATTCATACAGAAGCACTTAAAAGTGCGTTTTCAAGTCAATATTGAATTTTGCACATAACGTGATTAATTGTGATTAATCGCCATAAACAATGCAATTAATCAGGATTAATTGCCTTAATTTAAATATTTATTTACCAATTGTGATTAATCGCCATAAACAATGCTATTAATCAGGATTAACATTTTTACCGATTGCCTTAATTTAAATATTTATTTACATTTTCTCTCAGCCAGCTTATTGTCTATTGGCTAAAAAAAGTGTCATCTTAACATAATTAGACAGAAGGAATTTTAAAAGGTATTTGTCTGTGTAGGTTCTCAATCATCCAGGTCATTCAATCCAAAAATAATTACATTGAGGGCAACTGGGCATGAAGATGTTTCACTGAAGAAGCCTCTTGGATGAGAGGTGAAACGTCTTAAAAAAAAACCCTACTCCAGCCAGTAGCCCTCGATGTAACTATTTTTGGGTTGGAAGGGTATATTTTTCGATATTAGAATTACCCCCCAAATATCCCAGTCATGAATACATTTTATAGTATACATCATGTTTGTGGATACACATACAAAGCCACAGAGCTGATGTGCTGTGCTGTCATACGGCGACTGCGTGACTGAGTGATTAATAATTGTCTGTTGCACCTGTGCACTTGAAAGCTCTTAGAGCGTAGCATTCCAAAGGAGTGTAATCAAGCTGATGTGCTGCAGCAGTGCTGACCTTTACTAATTGCTCTCTGTCCTTTGCTCTGTACCCTGAGGTCCACCCTAACCATTACCCACAGCAGTCACTCTCAGAGTCTAAGTGGAGGATGAAAGGGGGCAAAAGCATTCATTAGTTCATTTTCTACTGCTTCCCCCGAGGAGGTCACTGAAGCCAACCCCCACCTGATGAAAAGCGGGAAAAAAACGTTTGGGTACGATCTTGACAAGTCACCAGTCCGTCGTCAGGCAGTTCATGTAGACACACAATCAGTTACTGTTCTATTCAGAACAGCAACTGTTTACAATCTCCAGTCAAAATTTTTTTTTAGTTTTTATGTCTGCGGCGTGTGGAACGAACCACAGCAACAAGGGAGCAATCAAGAAAACTGCAGTCCACGAACCCAGCCATGAACCTGTGATTTAAATCTGTCCATTTCAGTTCAACAGACAACGACAATAAAATAAATACAAACTCTAACCACTGGATTTACTGTATTAGATTTAGCTCAATCTGATTTGCGACAGTACATTGGCCAGCAGCGCCGTGGCCTGGCAATCCTCAAAACCTTAATGTAATATTTGTGAGATTCAGTTCTTAAACAGTGAGATAAACTTTGTGCATTCCTCCCTTTCAAAGTCAAACTGGAGCGTGAGTCGACACAAACGATTCTTACTGTTTTGTTCTCTGGAGAAAACTGACACTTAATTGTAACAAATAATCCACAACGTGCCTCCTCCCAGAACAGACACACGCTACAGAGCGTTTGCATGCCGGCCGTAGAGGTTTTTCCCTCTGGACCACTGCAGCGTAACCTGAGCCCATGTTGAATCCATTGGCTGAATTCAAGAGAAAACAGCTGAGTCAGCCACCTGGGAGCCAAATGTCTTGGCTTGCTTATTTCTGTAGCGCTCCACCCTGATCCAAAACAACATGGATTTACGTCGTCTTTTCAGAGCCCCAGACGACACACACACACACACACACACACGTACAATTGAGCAATGTTCAGTACAATGCCACCGACAATCAGACTGTCAGGTCGACATTCATTGGAATGCGCTTAATCCCCCGGCAGCCAAAAGTAGGACTATAAATTCTCTCGGGATATATTATCAAATGCAGTGATGTTAACAATAAATAAAGTTTAAGAAATAGCCTCTGTGACTCGGTTATTACGACATTCATTATCTGGGGAGAGAGCACGTTAGCGAGCAGTTGCATAGTTAGTGATAAGTCAGAATATAGTAATTCACATTTGCCAGTTAGATGCCGCCAAATGGTGCGAACAACCTCACACACTGAGGACTGCAATTATCTCTTCCAGAACACCCACGGGTAAACACTTCATCTCTGCACCAGCTCTATAACATTCCTGTCCTGCTGTAACCTTACAGAGAGTCTCCTGAGGATCTGACCCAGTACAACGAGGGGGAAGGGGGCGCTGAAAGAAGACGAAGGGAGGATTTGGCTCTTTGGATCTTAGTGTAGTGGGAATGTTACAAGAACACATACAATTCTGCAGTGTTTTCCAAAAGACATTTAGAGACAAAAAGGAAAGTAATTGAACCCTAAAAGGTACCTTGGGGTACACCACAGGCAAAAAGAAAATTTTACCAGGTAACTCCTCGAAAGGCACCAACTGGGTGAACTTTAAGAAACAGAATATGAGGCAATAGAGTTTTAGATGAGCCGTGAAACGATTCAATGTAAATCAATATTTCTGAAAACAGACTGTAATCTGATGGTATTTAGTCAGACTGCACACACACAGGGTCATTACGAGTCTTTTCCTACGTATTATTTCAGACCGTGCAGCTCAGAAATAACTGCTCACATTATGAGATTTGCCACAAAGAAACTTAAATCTGAAACAGTACAACCGTGCACATGAAGAAATTACACACACAAATGTCACCTATTAAAAAATCAACTTGTTGTTGAAAATCTTTAGTATTTCTAGTCAAAACTTTGTGAAAACATCTGGTTGTTCACAATTGTCTGCCATTCAAACAAATAACTCTAAGAAAGCGCCAGCATTTTTTATGAATGAACTTTAAAGACAACTTATTTCTTTAAACACTACTTGGTCTGTGTTTCAGCAGAACCAGATGATTTAATTTGTTGTTGCACACAAATAATTGCTTCGAAATTTGACACATCGTTGTTTTGGTCTGTCATGTGGGTGGAATATTTTTATTATTCTGATTTTACTACTGTTTACGAAAAATAAAACAATCACGAAAACAATTTATGATTCGTACTGAGACTGACTGGTGCTTTCACTGCAGACAAAGAAGCATCTCATCATTTTATTAAATAAAATAATCGTAATAATAAATGAGAGTTTGCCAACGTGTGATGAAAACTTCAATTCTAGATGTTGATAAATATAACCTCTTTGCGGCGCTGACTCACCTGTGACGAGCTCCCTCACTTCTGCGTCCACAGACTTCCTCAGCAGACGCAGCAGAGCTGGAATGCCACCTGCGTTTCTCACAGCAACTTTATTGTCATCCATTGCTTTGCCGTAAACAAGGTTCCTCAAGGCTCCGCATGAGTTCTTCTGAACGTCAAGGACTTTGTGGTCTAGTAGGTCCACCAGATGTTTGATTCCTCCCAGTCGACAAACCTGACGACAGGGCGAGATGAATCAAAATGACAACATGGTCCTGACAAGCGTTAGCATTTGGAGACGTGGAATTAAATATTTATCTACATCACCACATTGGCACCAATGCTAATACACGTTGTAACATCCTTATTGATCCTCTATGCACTGTGCGATTTTAGCAGACACTGCACAACACACTATGCGATGTGGAAACTTGAGTACGACGCCAAGTTTGATGCGCGCAGACTGTACGATGACAATTTATTGAATCGCGGGTCACGACATAGATCAAAATGCAACGTCATCAGTGTACTTCCTCCATGTGTGCTAGAATACTTATAGAAACCATTGAGAAGCTAAACCAGTATGAAGAATGAAGGGTTTTTAATGGCATTTTTGTCCACTGAAAAAAATCTGAAGAAGCATTTCTATTGGCTGATTAATAAACGCAGGTCACTGTGAGATAGTCATCCTACATTTCTGACACTGATAGAATTTTACCTAGGGTTATCTTTGGTCACAAGACGCTGACAACGACTGTCCTTGAACCTGTCTCACAGTGCAACCACTTTTTTTACGACCAAACATATCGCCTACGATCGTCATCTTCCGTCTGGGACAGCCCGTGTTTGCCAACCATTAAACCTAACATACTGTGTCAGACAACATTTAGGTCATTAGTCCAAGACCAAGTGTGAAGGGTCAGTGAAAGGCTTTACCTCAGCCTTGATTCGATTATCTCCGAAGCACAGGTGCTGCAGATATGCAGCCGCGTTGGCCTGCACCGAGGGGAAGTGATGCTGCAGCATGTGAATCACCTCTGTCAGCTCCGGGTCACGCCAGGCAAACTCTCTGCAAACAGATGAGCCCCAAATGCATCAGCATGGGCAGTGTAAGAACAAATAAACAAAAGGATAAATGATAAAAAAGAAATGTTGTGTTCTGAAGGGATTTCAAGTGTCATGAAAATGTCTGTGGGCAAAATGAAAAGTAAACATCTAGAAATATGGTGCTCTCCAGTAACACTTGAATGTTAACGGCGCCTTTATGATACAACGGTGACTTAAGTGGCCGCCTCCAACAATCTGAGCCAGACACTCGTCCAACTGAGACAATTTTGATTTTGTTTTTGATTTGAATAGATGACGCCTGAATATGAACGTCTGTCAGAGATTTGAAATCACACTTACATTTCTACATTTAAGCACTTACAGAGACTTATACGACGAGGATTAACCATCAAGCTACACAGAAGAACTCTTACTCTCTCACTTTGCAAATATATTCGCTAACACTGACTTCCTCCATGTGTAAAAGAGCTGTAGACACAGAGTCTGGTGCTCAAAACAAACACCAGACTCAGACGTTGGAGGAGATCCTCTTGCCTACAGCACAGCATATGGCAGCGACACAGTCTCAGTTTACACAGCAGAGGGAAGATTTGAGCAAATTAGAAAAGAAATCCATCTATCAGATTTCCCACCAAATCATTGGTGTGTGAGGAGGGACAGCAAATCCATAACCTCAGGGGGATTTGCAGTGAAAATTCAATTCAAACGGCTCCAACCGAAGCTTAAAAAACAAAAATCAAAATTACAATATTTCATCGACACAAGTCGCGCAAGTGAATATTCCCAGTGAAACCTGAGCGGTGGCTGTAAAACCCCGCTCACACTCACATGTAGCTGCATTACAGGGTGTAAACAAAGCTCCCTGTGTGCATGAACAGGGCTTTAGTGAAGAGGTCACCAGTCTATAGGCTTACACACGTCTATACAAGAGCAAACACAGCACTTCCCTGCATGTGAGAACCTATTGTTAAATGGCCAAAAGTGAGGAGAGCCAGCAGAGCTGCGTGCGACTACCCAGAGTGCTGTGTGCTTGAATAGTAAGTCCATACAGCAGAACAGAGACGACTTGTAAGTAAGTCAGTCCTCCTATTGTCCTATTGGTTGACTGGGCAGAAAAGCAAAAACAACAGCACTGCTCCACGAAGGTGAGTGCTTCTTACCTGGGATCTTTCTGAATGCTGTCTATGGAGGGCGAGCGAGTGGCAGCGTCGTCCATGATGACAGCCTGCCGACCGTAGTTTGGATCAGAGGGACGGTACTGAGCGGAGCGGTACGGATCGGCGTAGGTGGTTGTGTTAAGAGCATAGTTGTTTCTTTGGTAGGTCATGGCACTGCGTTGACTCGATGTCCGCCGGAGACTTCCCACCCCTGTGGGCCCACAAAAAGAAGTAGAAAAAGAGAGAGAGGGGGAGAGAGAGAGAGGTTTACACACACACACATAACACACATGCGTGCCAACAAAGTGCAGATTAGCAGCCTTCAGGTCTTTTCAGCCAAACTCTGATCTCTGCACACCGGTAGCAGGCGACTTTAAACCAAGCTGAAAAATACAAACATGCAGCCTTCAGACTCAGCAAGTTCCGAAATCTGGAACCAATGAATGTCGGGGTTAAACAAAAAATGCTCCCACGGCTCCAGAAAGACGTCTTCAAAGGCTTGTTTTGGTTGTTGTTATGTTTTTATAAGTTTAAGATTAGCCATAGGGATACTGCTGTTTTTATCCAAAAAAAACAACAACAAAAAAAACAAAAAGGACTCCACCTGATTCATGGTTGGTCACGGACTTCTTGCTCCTGTGCCCCAACAGATCAAGTCAGGAAATACCACTCATCAGTAAAGTGGAAACTTCTCAAACATACAGTTAATATATAAGGTTAAAGTTATGCTCCGTTCAGTCCAACACTCAGCATCTTGTTCCCTGGTTTTTGAAAAAAAGAAAATCCACTCTGAGCGACTTCATGTCCTACTGGTGGAATACAATGGCTCACACTGACCGAGCTGCAGAAAACAACCAATTTTGATTAAGCTGGTCCTCACCACGTGATGTTTGTCAGCGTGACTGCTGCTCTGCCCAGATCTCTATCAGACCTCGAGGAGGAGACTGGGCATGTGCGAGCTCAATCTCCCTCCTACCAGGAACCAAAACGTCAACTTGCGGTGCCGCTCCAAAAGTACAATTTCTCACATCAATGCACATCTATGCTGTGCTGCACCGCTTCCCCGCAGCACGTTCACGTGCCAAAAAGTAACTGGGAGCACATGAAAGAGAAACACAAACAACAGGCAGCCCTGCACACAGCAATGATGCGCAATTTTCGCCACATTTATTTGGGAGCAGATTCTCATCTTTTCAGCACGGGGATACACGTTTCTATTTAACATAATCCCTGGTTCCCACCTGCAAAACAGGAAATGAGGCAGGGTTCCAGAGAAGGAGCAGAGACTCGGAGAGAGAAAAATAGTCTGAAATTTAATTTCACAACACCACAAAAAAAACCAACCCTTGTATCAAATTGGATTTTTTTTAATAAGCCTGCTCCTACAAAGACTTCCTATGGGCCGCTCCCTCTGCTCCTCTCCTCTCCTTATATCTGCCATGAACGCAACATCTTCTTCACAGCATTTATTAGTCAAGCAGAAAACTGGAGAGTCTGGGAGAAGCGGGGGGGCTGTTTATGTGCAAACAAAGCATGAGTATCTGAGGCGCTTGGGATGATGGTAAAAGAATGCCAACATAGGGAGAGCTGGACTGGAGTTTGGACGTGGGCAGCCAAAGTGTCCCCCGGCCGCTCCATCCTTTCTCCCATTCTTGGTTTGACACAAAAGTAATGGAGTCTTTTGTGGTGAGATGACATATCAGTACCTGCCTATTAACTCACGCCTCACCCTTTCTGCCTGGCAGAGAGGGAGAGAGAGGGAGGACAAGAGAGACAGAAGAGAAGGACAGGACAAAAGACAGAAAATAATAACAATAATAATAAAGCCCAAGGAAGCCCTGGGTGGCAGAAGGAAAGAAAAAAAGCAGCAACAATAAGTGTAAGAGGTATTTTTTAGTAGGCAGGAAATTCACAACAGAAATAATAAAAATACTTCTGTGAAGGGTTAGGATTTCAAGTGGACCACTAGAGGTGTACGGTGGTGTGTTCTACAGAGACACTTTTACCCTTTTTCTTTTTATTCATGATCTAACTGTTAAAAAGCCCAAACAGTGAAATAGGCCCAGTATGTGGCAGTAAGGCAACTTAAGCATTGATTTATTTTACACCCAGTAAAAAAGAAGTGAGAGTTGGGGGAGGGGTCAGGGAGAGGTCAGCTCACAACATTTTTTCAGCTCAGTTTTTAACATCTAATGTATCTTAAAATAAAAATCTAATCTGAAAATAGTAATAACTAACTAATAACTAGTCCACACCTGGACTTTGGAGCGTGGCTACACAGAGACGGTACCAGATATAAAGGAAGCAAATGAAGGTAAATATGGAAAGTAGATGGAGTTTCAGAAAAGTGTGGAGATAATTTAGACTCTGCTCTGTCACACACACACAAACCTCAGTGTTGGATATTGACTAGAGGAGCAATTCCTCAGTTTTTACACTCAGGCGGACTATTTTATATGACAGCATCGATCCTACAGGGGGACAGAAATGATCCAAATAAAAAGTGACTTATTTAGTATGTGACGGAGCATCTGCACAAGCTGAAGAGAGAACAACAGCTCTTCCTGCTCTATCTCATTGCTTTTTTTTTTCTTTAATATTCGTCAGCCATGATGTTACTACAGCAAAAAAAAAATCACAGCAAAAACAAATACAATCTAGGAACGGTTTAGTACCAGGTAACAAAAAACTACTGCTCAGCAGTTTGCTCATTGGCTCATATGTACAGTCTCTGAGGAGGACCAACCTGAGGGGCTCCTGTAGAGGGTGCCCTGCTGGGTGTGGCTGGGACTACGATACAGAGGGCCCTGAAAGGTCCGGTCCTCGTAGATGGGTGCGATGTGTCGATCTGGAGACATGGCCGACCTCATGTCCTGACCCAACTGGCTGTGCTGACTGGCATATGAGCTGCGTATCGCTGTGAACAGAACAGAGTTGTCAGTGGAAGAGTCCTTAAGAACAGCCGTGAGTCATGTGATTCGACAAACGACTGTGCGACTCAGGTGTCGACGGTTTGGAATAAACTGTGAAATACAGAGTTGGCTTTTTTTCAATGAGCTTCACCAATGTTTTAAATCACACGTACATTGAGTTGCATCAGTGTCAGAAAAGAATTGTAATGAAAGAAAAACAGCAAATTATTCATTCATAGCTAATATGGTTATTTCCATTTACTTAAAAATGACCTGGCAATTCTACATAAAACAGTTGTTAAAGTAATTAAAGGTTATGTTGATGACTCCTCCCACGCACTCCCTCAGCTGACATCATGTGTCTAAACACGAACACTATTGACCAGATAATTACCTTGCCAACAAGTAACACATCTGTAGACAGAAACATGACAACAGCTGTCATTATTCTCATCACTTTGATCTTAATTGAATTTTATTTGTACAGTTTGTGTTCTTGAGACCAGCAGTGGTGATACCTCACTGCTGTATATGGTAACGTCTACTTCATTCTGCGTGTGTACAGACAGCTCTTGTTCTCAGAGAGCACTTTAAATACAGCAGTAAAGAGGCCACGTCACCAGAGGGAAGCAGCCCCGACCTCTAATCAGCAGCAGACTGTCATGTCAGGGGTAGAAATGAGGAAAACACAGGTGAGCACTGCAATTAACCCTCTCCTGCAGACAGATCACTAACAACAGGCTGTGGGGGCAGCATGAAGTGGCAAGTCTAGTGTGAATCAGATTCTGTGCAGATGTGAAGAATGAGAGCAGAATGAGGTAACGGTATGTTTTTTTTTGGATTCTACCCACAGGTAAGAACAATATTCTTTTTCCGTATGTGACTGACTTGAAAATGTTGGAAAAAACAAATTCAGATTCAGTATATTCTTCACACAGATTTCACACAATTACAACTTCAATTATTCCAAGTCCAAACAAAGGAGCAAAAAAGAACAAAAAACCCCCTGCATATTCATGTAGTGAAGTTAACTGCTATACATTAAAAAAACAAGAAGAAACAATACTGAATTCTTGTTCATCAACCAATGGGAATGTTCGGACTGTAGCTAACAGCGGGATGTCTGATTTCTTTTTTGACTGCTAAAAAATATTTTTTTTAACTTCTGCTAATCCTAATTGCAATGTATTGTTGTGACCAAGTCTTGTGTCGTCAGTGTGGAGCTGCACAGCACGAGAGTCAAGAGCTTCTACACACACTACTGATGCAAAGCTAATCCCCGGAAAAGCTCGACTTCTGGAATCCTCTTCAAACTGAATCTATGAATCTTCTGTTATGAGTTGATGGAAACGAGGGATGGATGCTGTATGTCCATTTATTATGTACAGTCTATGTCAGCTAAAGGTTAGCCTCAAGCTTGTCAAGCTCTCAAAAACATGTATAGTGTGCTGCAGTAGTTATTATTATTATGTCTCTATCTTTAATGATACGACACTGTCTCTTTTTTGCTTCTTATTCGATTTCGTGACGTCCTGTTCTTATAATATCAAATGTGACACAGCTCTAATTATGAGGACTGAATGAGCGTTCTTTCACTTCTACATGCTGTAGCACAAGCTGTGACATTCTGACCCACTTATACAGACACCCAGATGTGACTACTGACACTGAGCTGAGACTACGTGAACACACAGTTTGCGACACCTTTCTAATGAAAGACCATTTCTGACAGAAACAAGAGGCGACTGCTCCAGTCTCCAGGAGAGTTACTGTAAGTCTGGCTCGTATATTTTCTCCACGCCGTGCCCTCAAAGAGACATCAAACATTTTAAATTTGGTGTGAACAGCAGCGGCACCATTCAGAGAATGGAGCTTCAGACAGCCTATTGGTCAACATGTTCATAGGTTGTTGAGTTTTTCTGATGGATGAGTCAACTATGTCTTGGGAATGTTAGCTATTACATTCTTTAAAAAGTAAAGCAAGAAATGGGAGGACTGGGGTGAGGAACGGTCACTGTTTTGTATGAAACTTTTGAAAATACCATTAAAAGGAGAATTTTCTCATCTAGTCTGTAGACAGCCAATGTAGTTCTGACCCACGTAGCAGTGGGTCATCACAAACAGTTTCTCTTGATTCCAGGACAATTTTCACAATTTAATAATTATATATATATTTATATACAACAGGCTGTAATTCTCTTCAACCTGGTGCTGATCCAGGGCCTGGTGATTGGGGACCTCTGCCCTAAAATACCAAGGAGAAAACTAATTTTGTGTTATTAAGTCTTGCCCTTCATTAAAAAGGTTTGCCTTTTTCTGTTTCTTTTGTGCTATGAAGATTATGACCCTGTTCATAGAAAATAAGAAATACTTTTCATCTGTACTTTTCATTATGGACATGCTTGTCTTATCACAGATATGCTATTTAAGTTGAACTACCTCCGTCAACCACCAGGGGCTGCCTCCAAAAAGGCTAATCCATTGGACAATTAACATTTTATCTGAATGAAAAACACTCGATACAATCAAAATACTTGACACTGTTAACCAATAAGCTATCTTCTCAGTGCACTGAAGATTAAAATTGTATTTAATAAAATAATAGCCCACTCTCAAAGACATGAGAAGATGACGACAGTTCCCTAAAGTGTACAAAGTTTTTATGTGATCAACAGATCTACAGTATTTCTCAGTAGAAACTCACACTGGTGGCACTCACTAAACTGTAAATCCCACTGGCGCAGTGTACAGTTTGCAACTCACAGCTTACTGCACATTTCACACGCTTCCAAACCTCACCTGGGTCCCTTCCCGGCACTAAGAGCTCAAACACAGACTGCTGCTATCATGCAGAACCGGCTTCACAGGGGATTCTTGTCACAGTGAGAAAGAGAGGAAATTAATAAGTAAGCACGCTGGCCTCCCCCTCCTGGGAGTGGGCGGGTGGGGGTCTTTTAAGGCACGGCAAGTTTAGATTTTTTTTTTTTTTTAGCTGGAGATAGTGAGCTGACCTCTGGCTGATCTTCCGAGCACAGGGTCTTTGGTGGCTCAGAAGCCGAGCATCAGGCAGCCGACTGAAAGCCAGGCTAACCTCTGACTACATAATGAGGGAAAAGAGAATCAACTTGCATTAAAAAATGATGATTATTAAAAGTAGGCCATGGTTCAGACTGAGTCTGAGTCAGGCTGAGTGACAGACAGAGTTAATACAGGCAGAGAGTGTGCAGATACTGAATGTCTGGATTTGTGACTCCACTCATTAGGAGGTCGAGGATCATCCCTGGTTAATTCCAACAACACTCCCTGGATCACTGCAGGCATTGCTTTCACCTGCAGCTACGTGGGGAGTTATTAGAGAAATGTTTCTGACGCTCAGAAATAATGACGTTTATGTTACATAAACTGCATTAAACTTGTTACATTTGTTACAATCTTCGCAAAGCCCTCAAACGTAAGTCACCTTGACTTGACCAACACGTCAACAATAATACAGTATTTCAAGAAGTTGTTGGTTTAGGAGCTAGCCCCCACAGGCCACTATTGGTACTACAGCCAATACTGCACTTAGGTTGGCTTAAAAAAAAAGTTGTTTTTTTCATACAAACAAATAAACACCTGTAGGTCTGTGCTAATATAAGATGTTTGTTGTTTACGTTCTTTGTTCAGACTCAAATAGAAATGATGTGTTGGGTATAGTTTTAAAGTTTTTGTACTGAATCCTACTGTGTTACTTGTGAATGACATCCAGCAGGCATGCTGCCACCTGTAGGACAGAAGGGTTGGTTTGACTCGTTATTAAAGGCTAATTTCTGTAATCTGCCCTGTCGTTGCCTTTGGTCGCTCTGTTTACGACAATTGATTTTTATTGTTGGCTGGTAGTCTAGCAATTAAGACCTAAATGGTAATTAAATATGTTTTGACTGGTATAAAGTGATGCCTAATTACTATACCAACAGCCTTCCCTATGGAGCTGCCAAGACTGCACTCCACATAAGATGGAGAGACCACACACTGGTATATTTTTCTAAGAGACTAAGAGTGTTGATTATGTTTTAAATTAACCAGCTGCTGGATTATTTAAGAATTTAAATTAAACACTAAATGTATTACTTATGATTTGGCTTCATTAAGTAACATTGAGCGGAAGTTGTATGTGTTTTTTATAGGTGGATATTACCTGTAATGATTATGTCGAGCGGAAGTTGTATGTGTTTTTTATAGGTAGATATTACCTGTAATGATTATGTCGACTTTGTTGTTGGACTTTAATTTGCTTGAGTTTAGCATTAGAATTAAAAGCCTTGTGCACAGAGTGGAAGCTTTTGTGTAAATTAAGAAAAAAGAAAACATGGTGGGATTAGTCTGCAGTACAGCAGTTACCTGTGGGCTGAGAGAGAGCAGTATTTTACAGTCTGCTGTCTAGCTCAAAGACGTCAATAATTCTTACACACCGGAGCGTTTAAAAAATTAATATGATCAATAAATCTGTTGAAGCTTAGAGGGTTTAAAGCACTTCAGGATGAATGTTTAGCCTGTAGGGTTTTCTCTCCTGTCTGTGTTGTTGCATAAACCTTACAAAATACATCACGATCAACAGTTAGTTCTTCTGATTTCTTCTGATTGGTGAGTCTATCAAGTAGATTAGAAGCTCAAACAAGTTAAGTCTGAGTATGGAAATCATGTAGGTGAGCTGATGTGCAGGGAATGGAATAAAACAAAGGAAAATGAAAAAAAAAAAAAACCCTGAATAATGCTGCCACTGTGTGCTCTAGTGCCACGCTCAATAGGCCAGTAAGGCCTTTCACTCTGTGGCAGCACACATAATGGCCACCAGCAGCAGCTTGGCAGGAAATCAGTTCAGCCTCTCTGGTTGAAAGGTTCGAGAGGTGGGTGGAGGGGGTGAGGGGGTGCAGGGGAGGCAATATGAATAGAAAAGAGGGTAGAAACAAGGCATAAGAGGGAAAAAAACAGGAGGAGAACATCAGAGAAGATGTGGCAGAGGAATAGTAAAAAATTAAAATGGGGTTAACGAGGACGTCCAGGACCATCGGACCACCTGGATGAATGAATGGAAGCTTCTGGCACAGCTGTGGAGGAGTCAGATAGAATCTCTCCGACCTGGCAGCCTTCATGCTTTTAGTATTAATCCCTCTTAATGGAGCGACTCCCTAAAAGTAGAAACATCCAAACTACCTCGGAGGAGACGGTCTCTATATTTCGCTACCTTGACGGAGCGGCTGCAGTCACTCCTGAAGGCATCTGAAACTAGTCAGGGAGAAAATTCATAGCCCTGCCTTTTGAGGATAAATGGCCCACATTCCTGATGCGTTATAGTCATTTAATTCTCCTTCTCAGCCCAGTCACCGTGGCATTACCAGATTGTGCTTAGCAGACTTCAGATGACGGGTTGGTGGCAGCTCGGTGCACGCTAGCGCCGGAGAAACAAATACTAAAATGGATGCAGCTGACACTATTCATCAACTAAAATGGATCTCCAAAGAAACAGGAGAGTGTGAGTGATAACCAGAAAATCCTTGTCTATCTAAGTGTGAATACTGTAGCCAGAGGTAACGCCGGGTGGCTAGGGATTTATACGGCGTAGGCAATTATTTTGCTTTCCCTTTGTGCCGTACTGCTTGGGAATGGTCGCTGACCATTGCTAGGGACAATATGTCATAATTTCTCTGCTGTCGAGGGGGATAGCCAGTGTGGAGACAGCTGGGGACGCCAGGTGGGTGGTGAAAAAAATAAAAGAAGCCAGAAAAAAAAGGAAAAGCTCCGATGATAAATAGTGACAATCAAAATAATATTAATCTACAGCTCAGTAAGTATCAAGAAAAAAGTGTCAGACAGGCGTTACCAATGGACGGTACTCGACTCATCAGGTGATCATCACATTCTCATCTACAGCAGTTCTTGGAACACATGTGACAAGTTATTGTGACAGAGGAATTGCTTCGGTGAAACACAATAAGTGTGAGAAACTGAGGAGGAAACAGACAGAAATAGAGAGAAATGGAAAAGGAACGATGTGGAAGTGGAGAGAGGAGAGAGGAGAGAAATGGGACTGTTGGCTCTCTCCACAGGGACTGAGAATGCATTCATGTCTGCTGATGACATCATCAGTCACAGCAGTGTTGTGTTTATGTGTACAGAAGCAGCGGGCAGAAACAAAGGCAGAAAAATGTGATTTTTCTGCAGTTAAGACTTAGAACAATCATCAAATTAGACTAAACTACAAGATGTAAAAGTGTTTTTGTAAGAAATAAAATCTAATGGAAACAAATGTAAGTGGAAATACTTCCACGGGGATTTATAGGAAACAATATTGTGCAAATATGTTTGCAAAGCAAAATTGATTGAATTCACAGATGCAGTTTGTAACTTTAAATGCTGACGACACAATTACACACACACACACACAGTCATAACTGTGGAAAAAGGGCAAGCTGGACGATTATTGAACCAAGGATGGATGAAAGGTACTTTCACGTGCACAAGCAGCACAAACAAACATGTCTTGCTGGAAACGATGAAGGAGAACTGGTGTAAAAACAAACCAAATGTTCACCTTTAATGTCATCGTCTACCAGGGCGTCTGAAATTATCCCAGGCAGCATGGATTCAAGCAGAAAACACTGTTAGTATTGTACATCACTACATTGATGAGTGATAAGTGGACAAAATGTATTATTCCATACATGTGTCCACTTTATTTTTTCTTTATCTTTAGGGATTAGTCACAAGTAAAAACATGTAAAAAATAAAGTAAAGTAATATTTAGAAATGTTGATTAATCTCTATTAATAATTAATAATCATAAATTGTGAGAAGCTATTATTAGAAATAATTGTAAGTACTGTAAACCACAGCTACCCTGTGATTAATCAAACAAAAAATTTCAAGTCCTGCTTTTTATCAAGAAGAAAAAAAAAGAAAAAAAGAAAAACCTAGTTTTAAAGTGTGGCGTAAATTGTTCCAACATAAAACCCCAGACTTTAAAAATGACCTTGCTACTCTCAACATATTGTTTTTAAACAGGCTGTCACAGTGGGACCGCTTGTATTTGTCTCTCGGCTGCAGAACTTACTATGATTAGTAGTCTGTAACACGCTGGGCCAATGTTTGTCTTTTAGCAGGAGCAATGTTTGGAGACCTTCCAGTCCGCCCGGTCACCTCACTGTCACTGTTTCCTTTCTGCTGGAGTTCTCTGTGCAGAGATCCTACACAGAAATGTACCACTGTCCAAATATTTACAACCTCAAGTACAAACCTTCTTCTCCAGGATGGTAGAAAAATATACTGAAAGAAGAAGGAGACCCAAGACCAGATATTCTTATTGTCTTGTCGTCTTTTGTTGACAGTTGTGTCATGTGAATAAAAATAATTTCTTTATTATAACTTTCAATTAGACGGTAATACTTTGACTGGAAAGTGACGATCATAGCTCATATTCCACTGATCTGAACGCCAGTGTTTCAACAATAACACAGCACATTAAAGTAATTGATTAAGTTCAACAATAACACAGCACATTAAAGTACTTGAATAATTGTTCTTGATTGTTGTCTGTATTAATTTTGTTTCGTTTCTGACTGAAGTAGACAAAGAGCTCAAAGTTTTCTTTTTGTCACCAGGATAATTCCTCTAGGAAACTGGGTCTGTGCTGCACAGTGGCCTTTTTTAACCTCTGTGAATTACCGGGTCAGAAACACCAGAGTTGTAGCAGGAAGGAAACAATAGGGACAGTGACAGTGCTGTAGAATTCACTGTTGTGTCTCCCTTTTGTTTTGTCTGTTTCTCATTCGAACCGATTGGTTAGTTACAGATGCTGGGAAGGAGCCTCTTGTGGTTAGAAGAAATAAACAGAAAGAAGGAATGTTCCCTTTTCTTCAATTCAATTTGAACAGAAAACCAGACCTGGCAGTATCTTTGGGCTGATTGTAGTTTTAAATATTTATCTCCGAACATCAAAACCACCTTATTTTAATGTAAAAGAAAAATAGCTGCTGTTCAGCCCTTTGTAGCTCCTCACTTAAATTAATAGAAAAACAATTAATGCCAAAAGTATACTTATAAATGTTATGGTGTTAAAATGTTATTTTTTTAAATATTATTGAATTAACACAATAATTAATTATTGCACATTTTTTAAAAACCTGTAATAATGTTTATCTCAAGTCAAAAGCAAAATATTTTTTAATGTTTATCTCAAGTCAAAAGCAAAAGATTAAAATAATAAGGTTAAATAATGAGAAACTATGTGTGAGAAAATAATTGTCAACATTAATTATTTACAGGTGGCAGCCTGAGCAAATATGAAATAAAATGTTATAAAACAACATACGTGTGTGTGTGTGTGTGTGTGTGTGTTGTAGCACCTGTGAGGGTGTCGGGGCGCGCCATCCTCTCATAAATATCGTAACTCTGGGGTCCGTAGGGGTCAGCGTTGTGCAGCACTGAGCGGGGCATCGTGGAGCTGTAGTGCTGTGGCACAGCGGTCATGGTAGCCCTGACTGGAGAGGAGTGTGTTGGCTGCTTCGTTAAAGGAGGGTTGACGTTATCGATCATTGTGAGCGGTGACCCCATGCGCCCCGATGAGGAGCCTGCAGACGCTTGGTAGGGTGAAGTGGTGCGACTCGCGCTGCCTGACCTGGAGTTCGTTGAGCCCATGCGTCGCAGCGCCACTGGGGAGTTTTTGTGGTTTGTAAAGGCTGAACCACTGCTGCCAACACTGGCGGTACCAGCTCGCTGAGCAGAGGGCAACGTTGTAGAGTAGACGCTGGAGAAGGGCTTGGGTTCTGTTACGATGGGCGAACCGTGGGCGCTGCTGGATGAGGTACGTAGAGAGCCACGGGAGGGGGACATACCACTGGTGTAGGCTGGTGAGTGAGAGCGAGAAGGCACTGAGCTCACCCTCCGCATGGCCCTGCCAGGGACTGCTGACGTAACTGTTGGAACCTGAAAGTGAATGGGGAAATAAAAAACAATATGCTTTCATGCATTTATGTCCAGAAGGAGCTATAAAAAAATCATTACCTATCATGTTGTACTGTGAGCCAAATCAGCCCAATGGGAACAACGTTGTGATAAAACACGGCTCTAAATAAACCAATTCATTTCAGGACATGACTTTACTCTGGGCCATATTTATTTTCTATTTTCCCTCCCCATCTGTAGTGTCAACAGTGCCATTTGGACTCTCAATGGAGCCTGTGCTCAACACTGAAGGATGTAGAAAGGTTTGCTGATACGTTGCCTTTACATTAAAACACCCTTTTGGTTTATTTTTATTTTTTAGAAAACACCCTTTTGGTTTATTTTTATTTTTTTGAAACAGTCACTTAATTTTACCACTCAGTCCTTTATATTTGTTGGAGGGCCAGATTTTTTCTGGATAGACACTATAAAAGCCAGAGTTTGTTTTAATACTAATAATTTGAACTGAGATAAATTGATCACAGATTTGGGAAATTCCTGTGTTAACAGCAGATCTGCTGGTTCTTCTGGGAATCGAACACAGGAACAGTTACTATAAAGGGTTTGGATTAAGCTTTTTGCATTTCTCGCTCACAGAGCGCAGCCACACATTTGTTAATAGATATTTACAGCTGTAATTCCAGTCATGCTTAAATAAGGTCTGCAAATGTTAAGCGTTCCAATCGTGTGTAATTCTTCTGCAGGATTTCCTCACTGTCAGCTGTTCTGTTACATGGGTTGAATCAGTGTGTACCAATGACCTCCTCACTTTACAATCAGTGAATCTTTATGTCATGTCAACATGGAACATGCTTGTGTCAAACACACTGTGAGGTCAAATAATGCCCAGGGCCATGTCTAGAATGATGAGTATGTCAAGTAAATGATGTCACTCAGACTTGGGTTGACAGCTGCAAACATATAGACAAAGAGAGTAAAACTCACTGAAGTGTTGAAATGTCAACAACAAGGGTTAGCCCAGAAGGCTTCACCATTACATCATCCCAACAACCTGGACCATTGACGCAAAGCCAGTTGGGTTCACGGATTTATCTATTTGATGCCAAAATTCCGACCATGCCATCTGTGTTTCTGAGCAGAATTCCAAGTTCTTAATTTATCAGATTTCCGTTTTCTGGCAGCTAAGAGTGAAACCCCTCGCGGACTTCTGCTGCTTTAGCCTAGAGGTTCGACACATTCTGCATTCTGAAATGTTCTTCTGCTCACTGCCACAGTGGTTATCTCCGTTACTGTAGCCTATCTTTCAACTCCAATCAGTCCTCCAACCTTTTTCATCAAAAAGGCATTTCCATCAGCAGAGCCGTAGCTTGCTGTTCTCAGTAGACTCTGATGGGTAATGTGCGTGAAAATCCCAGGAGATCAGCTGCTGCGGAGTTACTCAACACCACTCTGTTCAAGGTGACTGAGATCATATTTTTGTATCACTCATGGTGCAAAAAAAATGCAGCACACCTGAACCGTTGTGGACAATTATTTTAAATGTCAGCCCCTTGTGATTGGCTGATTGGATAACCAAACAAATCAGGTGTGCAGAACACAATCGGTGCCATTCCAGACACATTTTCTGCCTGACAAAAACAATTTGCTGTAGGTGCAGTTGTTGTCACTACCTGGGATGAAGCCTGGCCCTCAGCCCTGGCATTTCTCATCAAGGTGTTTGTGCCGGCCCCAGGGTAGGAGTGCTGTATCCTCAGATCAGCTTTGCCCAGGTTCTGGCTGTTGATGTAGCCGCTGCTGGCATCCTGGTAGCCGCTGTCCGAGTACGAGTTCATCTGTGTGGAGCTGCGTGAATTCCCTGCAGACGGAAACAGAACGAGAAGGGCAAAATAAGACAGACGAGAGAAACAGGTGAAGGTAGAGGAGATGGAGTCGAGCTGAATATGAACGGATCCATCACAGAAGTCATCACTACTGACTACTGGCTCTACAAGAATACATCTGTTTCCTGTCCTTGTGGTGTCCTAAAGGCATTTGCGTAGGCACATTTTACACTGAGATATCAATAGTAAACTCACATTTCTACATCAGCTGTTTTTTTAAGATATATAATTGCTATAAAAAAAAAGTAAATTTGGTACGGCAATCACACATTAAACAGCTGATATGGACATGCTTGGGATGTACTGTCACTAATACTGGTGCCAGTGGTATGTGTCTCACGGTGATATGATGAGAAACGTAGGAGATTTTGTTGGTCAGGGCTCTAACATGGTGATCTAACCATCAAAATCACAGTGTACACAGGCCATAAGGAAGACGACAGTTTGCCGTCAAAACACGTCAAGGTGAAACCGTCTACATTGCTGACTTTAAGAAACTATGAGAGTGTTTTGATCTGTGTTGAGACGTAATGAACCCAGTGGAACTATATTTGTTGCCTCCTGCGGACTTCTGCTGCTTTAGCCTAGAGGTTCGACACATTCTGCATTCTGAAATGTTCTTCTGCTCACTGCCACAGTGGTTATCTCCGTTACTGTAGCCTATCTTTCAACTCCAATCAGTCCTCCAACCTTTTTCATCAAAAAGGCATTTCCATCAGCAGAGCCGTAGCTTGCTGTTCTCAGTAGACTCTGATGGGTAATGTGCGTGAAAATCCCAGGAGATCAGCTGCTGCGGAGTTACTCAACACCACTCTGTTCAAGGTGACTGAGATCATATTTTTGTATCACTCATGGTGCAAAAAAAATGCAGCACACCTGAACCGTTGTGGACAATTATTTTAAATGTCAGCCCCTTGTGATTGGCTGATTGGATAACCAAACAAATCAGGTGTGCAGAACACAATCGGTGCCATTCCAGACACATTTTCTGCCTGACAAAAACAATTTGCTGTAGGTGCAGTTGTTGTCACTACCTGGGATGAAGCCTGGCCCTCAGCCCTGGCATTTCTCATCAAGGTGTTTGTGCCGGCCCCAGGGTAGGAGTGCTGTATCCTCAGATCAGCTTTGCCCAGGTTCTGGCTGTTGATGTAGCCGCTGCTGGCATCCTGGTAGCCGCTGTCCGAGTACGAGTTCATCTGTGTGGAGCTGCGTGAATTCCCTGCAGACGGAAACAGAACGAGAAGGGCAAAATAAGACAGACGAGAGAAACAGGTGAAGGTAGAGGAGATGGAGTCGAGCTGAATATGAACGGATCCATCACAGAAGTCATCACTACTGACTACTGGCTCTACAAGAATACATCTGTTTCCTGTCCTTGTGGTGTCCTAAAGGCATTTGCGTAGGCACATTTTACACTGAGATATCAATAGTAAACTCACATTTCTACATCAGCTGTTTTTTTAAGATATATAGTTGCTATAAATCCTAAAGGCATTTGCGTAGGCACATTTTGAGATATCAATAGTGAACTGTGATCAGCTGTTTTTTTAAGATATATAATTGCTATAAAAAAAAAGTAAATTTGGTACGGCAATCACACATTAAACAGCTGATATGGACATGCTTGGGATGTACTGTCACTAATACTGGTGCCAGTGGTATGTGTCTCACGGTGATATGATGAGAAACGTAGGAGATTTTGTTGGTCAGGGCTCTAACATGGTGATCTAACCATCAAAATCACAGTGTACACAGGCCATAAGGAAGACGACAGTTTGCCGTCAAAACACGTCAAGGTGAAACCGTCTACATTGCTGACTTTAAGAAACTATGAGAGTGTTTTGATCTGTGTTGAGACGTAATGAACCCAGTGGAACTATATTTGTTGCCTCCTATCGTTTGGACTTGACTTCCCTTATCTTTGATACACCAGGTGTCAGGTTAATAAGGGAAAAGACAAGTACAAGACAAACACACACTTTGTTTAGGATCAATACGTCAGGCAGGAAACCGTGTGCAGTCATCGTTTCCTTTTAAGTGCAGTGAGGAAACGCTGAGGCAAGAAAAACATGGAGGTGATTCAGTGGGAAAAGAAGCACTTCAGAAGATGGAGGGAAGGCAATAACAGACCCTCACTTTCATGAAGAGAGGACTGCTCAGGGGAATACAGAGACACCTGCTCTGTCTCAGTCCTGATGCGGTAGCTGGGCGACTGGGAGCTGTCAGTCACCCGAGACTTTGTGTCCCCCGAGGTGGAGGCATCTGGGAAGACACAACAGAGCCAGAGCCAGAGTCAGACAGAGCTTAGAGTGTGAAACTGCTGCAGAGTTTGGGGATTAAAAGTTTATAATAGTCATTAGAGAGAGCCAGGGTTTTTTTTGGGAGATGATAGGAAACAATACGAGCCAATAATTTCTGCAACATTACTTTCATGTCTGTGTACATTTCCTGTCGTTTCATTTTACTGCCACGCTCATTTTGGAAAACAAAGTTGGGTGGCATGTTAATTTGGCTGTGTATACCTCCAACAGTCTAACTGCTCTAACATTCTGCCTCTGGAACCTTCCCCTGTAGGCAGGCCTACACCCAGTTTGGCCAACAGAAACTGGAATTAGCCCTCTTATGTCTGTGTGCACAGTGTAGCTCCATAATTACAATTTAGTTAAGCATGACTGTTATCAGTGGGTGACTGTGAAATCACTGGAACAATAGGCAGAGAGCAAAGGGGGGGAAGGGGGGGGGGAGTCAGGCATCAACATTCCAGGGTCTTTCAAATCCTGCTCAGTCAGCGAGTGCGTGAATGAGAGCTTTATTCCACGAGGAAGTGGCATGGTGGCTCAAACTAAGCCACTGAATAAATCCACTGATGTGTGTTGACAAGTGACATCACGCACTCCGATCTATGGACAGAGTAGGGTTACATCACCAGTGCATAACTTTGTTTCTGTATGAACTGTTTGAACTCTAAACGTTTCTACTGAATGTCTAGAAATTATTAAACCAATGCATAAAAAATTACATTCTATAAAAATATAAAAATTGGTTTAGAAAAAATATTGGTTTAGAAATATTTTGCTCTACAAAATATACAGTATATTATAAAGTAAGTGCGCTCTGTTTACATGCAGAGTCAGTATTTTCTTGTCACATAAATGTTGCCGGTGCCAATCTGAGCTGATGGCCAGTGGTTGCCATTACAACGACATGGGCTCTTTTTTGGGGGGGAAATGATGCTGACAGGTTGTGCTGTCAATATAAAGATGGCAAGTCTGCAAATAAAATAAGCAGCTTGACAAAATATGGAGAAAGGGAGAAAGTGTAAAGAAGTCAGTCTTGAGTCCCAGTGGACACAAGGTGGAACTGCACTGACAGTTCCTGAGGCAAAAAGTCTCCCATGCTCACATACAGCAGACCTTTATGGTGGCTCCTAGGGCCAAAAGGCTTCAAAGAAGTGAAGGACGCTTAATTCACGGCGTCTCCCATGTAGATTAGAAAGTGTAAATTGCAACACTCCACTATCATTTATCATTTCGGTACAATGAGAAATCGATGCAGAGCAAAACAGTGGTTGTGATTAGACCACAGCTCTGCTCCAATATTAATGAATCGCATTCAGCAAGGAAATTGGAAGTGAGCCGCGAATAAGAACAACGTGTAGTATTAATATTCCCAGTGCATTTGTACAACTAAAACCCCCGTGGGTTCTTCTGATGGGATCCACAATAAAAGATTAATGGCCGATGCAGGAAATTCACAAACTTGCAGCATGTAATTAATAAGCCATGAAATACATCTGTATATTCAATTCACTCCTGGAGATCCTTCAAGGACGAGAGCTAAACACACACACCAAAATGGTCCGTGAAGAGTCCGTCTGCTCCTCATCACTGTCGGTATTGTGTGTAAATGAGCAGAAATAGCTTGGACAAATTTTAATAAGAGAACTCGCCTGAGGCTGTTCATTACTGTAAACATGCTTGAAAAGGGCTTATGTTAGCACTCATTACAGTGATATGGGGAAAAGAATGCTAGTACTAAACACACACACAAATAGTGTTTTTTGTCTTTTGTGAGCACTTCACACAGACATTTTACTTCCCAGGCAAAAAAAAGTGCAAAATATAACCACAAAAACCAGAACCAATGTCCCCACAATTATAGCTCATATACCAGGAAATAAAGACACACGGAGACAGAGGTGACATGCGAGAGCAAACAACACATTCCCAGGCAATAACAAGTTAAGAAAATATTATTAAAAAAAGACAGCAGAAAAATCAATCATTGTCCAATATATTGTTAGTGTTTGCTTTGTTGTTTTCTATTTGTCTACAGGTTTTGACATCTGTCTGACTTTGGAGAAAGTAAAGTGATTAAAAACAGTGAGATGTGGGAACTAAAGGAATATAATGATTTTCTTTTTTAATTTAGTAGTGCTGGGAGATCTAGGAGCGACAGGGAACTGTTTCTTCATTTATTCTTGTTAGCATTGGTCAAGACTGCTGACTAATGTGTACAAATATGTGTGCAGTCATTGAATTACACTTGCAGACAAGGCAGTTCAGGAAATCGTCTGACTTTGGAGAAAGTAAAGTGATTAAGAAGAATCAAGAATTTGACTTTTTTTTTATGGCTGCATGTCTTTAAAAAATTGTTGGGAATGTTGTTCATATAAAAACTTGTAAACAAGAGGAAACAGACGTTGTCGGGTAATGGAGGATCGTTAAAGTCCTGAAGCCAATTTTTATTTTCAACCAGCATTTCATAACATTGGAAACTCAGCACTCAAAGGGTTGTAAGAATATTGACCGTACAGAGAAAACAGAAAAAAACTTTCTTTGAAAAAACAACATGCATTTTTAAAACAATCTAAAAACTTTTTTTTTAGCTATCCGGTTCTGCAAGGGAGCATTTTATCACTGCGATACTGTGCATGATTTTGTAGGCCATTGGAAATCAATGTGCACACAATAAAATACAGCAAGGATATGCAAGCAGATGAGTTTGCATAGTTGGCAATGCACACTGACTACAGGTCTTTAATTGGTCCAAGAGGGAAAAAACCAGGACGGAACAGACACCAAAGGCAACAAATAACCAAATAGTGTGTGAATGTTAGCCAGAGTAACACAAAGAATGAAAAGCTTTGGGTTGCTTCCAACCTGTGGAGAGCTAATATAAATAAGGCTGCTATAAGGCTGGAGAGCTAATATAAATAAGGCTGCTATTGACCAACAGAGAGGAAATGGTCCTCTAGCCAATCAAACTTCATAGGATTTATCAATTCAGGTTCAGGTGTAACTAAAGATTAGAAGAGCCAGTTATAGTACCAACAATAAAACCAACAAAATACAAAACAACAATTGTCCTAAACTTTCATAATAAAGACAGACAACTTTTGTAATCATCTAAGTGTCAAAGTTGACTCACCTGTGATTCTCCAAGGCAGTGACTTTTCAGACGAGCTGTATGGGGGGGAAAAAAACACAAGAGATTAGAAGGAGGAGTCAGTCCACAAATAACAGCACACTGAATGACATGTGTAATATCATCTGGAAAAGACACCTTTGGGCCTCAGCTTCTACGACCTCTCAACAGGGTGTCGGCAAATATAATCACCGTGCTTCAGAAACGGCTAGAGGTTCAGAGCGTACCACCCAAGAGGAGATGTAATTAAGTCCATTTATGTCATGTCTGTTTACTGGAGCCTAAAGGTGACTTTGATGACAAAGTGTTTTTGTTTAAGGAGCCACACCAACAGAAACAACGCTAAAAAAAAGTGTTTGGCACCCCGAGCTTTAACAAACATGCTAAGTAGAAACGTGAGCGAAGGCAAAGAGTGGTTTACAGTTCTGACAGAAGCTGATAGTGAAAACACACAAGGGGGAGGTAGATGGGGGGTGGGAGTCTGGAGTAAATCAGATGCATTCGGGCAGTGCATTCACACATACGCAGCATGGGGATATTCTGACATCATCCTGACAGGATGTCAGTTTGTATTACAGGGGAGAGACATGGGGAGAATCCCAGTCTCGGGAGAGTCATGGTCCAGTCACAGCTCGTGATCATATCACTGTGAACATCAGATATTATAATCGGTCCCTGGTGATCGACTCACAAGGAAAGATATAAGTAGGTCACTTTTACCGGTAAATGTATCTCCATTATGATTAGATGGCCGCTCTGTATGCAAACAGCCTTGTGTAGAATTTCCGTTAGAAAAAGAGCCAATTATGTTTGAGTTACAGACAAGAGGAATATTATCACCCAAAATAATAGAAGATGCAAAGTTCAAATACAAATAGTAAATGATGAAAGACCTTGTTCATATTTGTCATGAAGACAACAATCTAAATTCAAGTCTATAACCTCTTTTATCAAGTCTGCTCTGTTTAACTAATATTAGCTCTTTGGTCAAATGGCCCAGGACAGAACAGGCATCTTAGTCTCGTCTCCTTTATTTTGATCAGTGAATGTGCAACAGTATGAGGAGCCGTTAGTCCCTGACCCTTGACCTACCAAGATAAATAACCATTGCATTTGTTAAGAAACTTGGGAACCACGTTTGGTATTTTAATTCAAGTATAAATGAGGTGAAAAGTGGTGGGTGTGGTTTGAATAAATGTACTCCTGGGCCATGCACCGATTTCTTTTGTGATGATAAAATGGGGACTGGGGGAATGGGGGCACTGCAGGTGATCTGACCAAGAAAATGTAATACAAAGTTGTGGAAATAAAGGCTCAACATCCTGGTTTTCAGCCGTTTGGTTTACAATTATCTCATGAACTTCATCACCTATTGTTCAAGTAAAGCCATACTGTCTCAGTTCAGTTTAACAGACCAAGAGCAGTGAGAAACAACAAAACAAAATTTACCATAGCACTGTCACTGCCTGTTTTGTTTTTTTTTCCCTCCTACATCTGTGACGCCTGTGACATTCCAATTCAAGAGCTGACACAAGAATGACATTAACACCACTGGGCAGAGCAAACACTGGCAACATGTTGTCGTCTTGATTCTAGCAGGTCCACCCGGGTCAGACATCCCATGCATGGCTGCTATCCTCAGCGTAAAACACAAACACTCGGCTGGGCTGTCACTCTGAGAACTTTTCTGGTATGTAAGATTTCTATGTATGAGCAGGGAAGCGTGGCTCAGTGGTTACTGTCATTTCTTAATAAATTAAATGTGCAATGTTAATGTTGAATAATGGGAAAAAAGGTCAGAACAGTAAATGATAAAAGTATAAAAAACACATGTTAATGTTGAATAATGGGAAAAAAGCTCAGAACAGTGAATGATAAAAGTATAAAAACACAGGGTATTAGTATATGTTAGAACCATTGTAGAGCACATTGAGTTTGCTTTGTGCATGAAATGCGCTCTATAATTAAATTGATTGATTAATAAGTAATTTCACTAAAATTGGCCATTCCCGGTATTGTACCTAGCCTTCCATGATTACTTATGACAAAAACATGTCAAAACATAAAATACTGTTATTAAAACTATTTTGATTTTTTTTCTTGAATCTATCTTTTCTGAGATATTTTGTGCACAAAATGTGGATTCAGTCAGCAGAAAAAATGTCATGTTTTATGGACTGTGCACAAAATGTGGATTCAGTCAGCAAAAAAATGTTTTACGCAGATGACATTGGCTCCTTACACTGTAGATACTTTGGTCTGTGGTGTATGGTAAGTTTTACCCAAGTTAGCCAAGTTCACACATATTAAACAAGAATGTGCCAGCAACTCCTGTTACTTGTGCCCAAAGACCTTACGACTGCACCAATAGCACCGCCTTACAAGGAGCTAGGTGCCGTTGGGAATGTTAAAATAAGTAACAAAGGCACTGCAGACATCTTCTTTAAATGCATGACCTACACAGTGAGGACTGAAGTGCTTACACAGGAGCCGACCACAATGCCATTGTTTGATTCAGTGTGATTCCTACAGCAGATTCAATGCACTATTTGATCAGGGCTCAGTGTAGACGAGACATGAAAGCTTTACTTAAAGCTACAGAATAATTTCACGTTATTGAATGTACCTTTTGAATAAAGGGAAACCATTCCACTTTCAGCACCATTTACACAGGACAATTTATCACAACAAAGGCTATGCAGGAAACCAGAGATGGTTCTTTCACTCATGCTGTTTTCTGGTTGTCATTTATAAACCCTAACTATTGTTTCTGATATTTCCTTCATTTTAAAATGATTCCCTCAGAATTGTAATGAGCCTACAGGCAATTAAAAAAAGAAGTTGTGTGGGTTGGGCTCCACTGAGCCGTAGCTGATGAAGAAGAATGTGATGGTGATGCACTGTCGATGCTGCAGTGAGGAGTGGCCACTTGGGTAACGGCTTTGCAAACTGATCATAAAAACCAAAGACACTGATAAACAGCAGGTTTCACCCTGAGTGGAGGCTTTATTTCCCATCAACCCCTCTGGCTAGACAGAGACAGCCTTGGCGGGATGTTTGCATTTTAAGAGTTTTGCCGAGGGTCAAGTTAGATGACCAGGTTGCAGAAATAAAGGTGTACTCTCTGGGTGTCATGAAATGTAATGGCTCTCATCAGTGAGCTGTCACCTCCGCTGTCGTCCCACTGAGCTATTGAAGCAGAACAGTGTGACCTCAGTGTTTAAAGATAATCTCTATTCACACACAAATGTACACTGACAGCAGTTTCTTTTGTCCTTCATGGATTTAAAAAAGGTGTGAAAAAAGAAGTGACATGTTTTTCTTTAAAGAATCAGCAGAAGGTGGTGGGCAGTTATCAGTTCTCCAGAGGGACGAGCAGCTGCGTTTACACCCGCTGGACAAATGAGATCGTATCTTCCTGGGTGAGCTAATTTCTGAAATGTCTGCATTTTAAAACAACATTGTACCATCCAAAATGTCCAATCCTTTCAGAGGCGGAAGTTAACTTTTAATGCACCTGAACAATACTATTGAGGAATTCAGGAACATTGATAGAGTTTTGAATTCTGTTTTAATGGACAAGTTAATATTATTAAAAATCCATTGGGCATTGCAGAGATATTACTGGCCTACGACAATTGTCCTAGCCTCCCGTCTCTGAACCCTACCTGGCCTCACTTTGAGAACCACAGCTATACAAAATAAAACATGTATGATGCAACTGTTTTACATTTACTAATTTTCACATGAACATGTAGACTCAAACCTTTGCAACTGGTGATCTGGTGACAAACAACACTGCAAATAAGAAGCTCCCGAAATGGTGACTGACAACCTCAATCAGATTTCACCACAAAGATGAAAATCATGTATTTAATCTGAACACGGCAGAGATATTGTGAGTACCTAAAAAGCCCTTTTTACCAATCAGCTACAGTTGTCCTGGCCTGGTTTAAACCAGATTTAAATTGTGGAGCCAATCAAAGACTAATTACAGTGGCAACAAAAACAAGCATGTTTTCCTCACGTAACCCATGGCAACTTTTAAATTCAAACTGCGTGTGGGAGCCTGGAGGTTTATGATTACTAAATCACTTTTGATCAAATAAATTCTTGGGTAAATTTCGAGCCAATCTACAGCAGGATTTTTTTTTCTTACTGAACGAGGAATATAAAACAACACAGCAATCTTTATGAGAACATACTGTAAATATATTGAATTTGAGTTGCTAGAAAACAAGCATTACACACCAGTCTATAGTAATGGCAGTGATAGCTACAGACCACATTCACTGGTGTTAATTACATATAAAAAAACCTGGTGACAACGGTGGTAAACTAGGATGGAAATCTACTATCTTTAAAAATTAGGAAGTTGATCTCTCACAAAAAGGTGTGAGCTGTGAACTTTTCAGTGACTGGGATCAATCACACTTGTTATTTCTAAAAAGCTTAGAAATTATTATAAAACGTGCCAGGCCTCTGCTTGAACATCAAGTTAAGTCAAGGGGAAAAAATATGGATCAAATTAATGTTGTATTGAAATGGTATCACAAAGACGTCGTCAGGCTTATATAACCCCAAAATAGATTAGGTCAAAGTACATGAAGCACACAGCTGACTATGACTGGCTTGAGACGTAACCAAAAACTATTCTACTCACCTTTTTAAAACACCGAAAGCATAAAATTAATATTTTTCATATATATTTGCCAAAAAAAAAAAACTCATAGAAAGTGTAAGGTCATACACTTTTAAGACCCAATGGGTCCACGTTTTAGAAAGAGTGCTAAAGCCTGAGACAGAAGTGAGGATCAGAGAAAGTGTCTGCAAGTAGAAAAAGCTCAAGTGTAGAAGTGAATTCACATGAGTAAAGGGATGAACGCAGTTCCGTGCGCTATTGTGATCAAGCGACTCACATAAAGGAGAGACTCTTCCACGGTGTCTCAGTGTTCATCATACTCTATCAGAAGAAGCCGAAGTGGAACGGCTTAAGAGATAATGGCAATTTGGCAATTTTAATTTGTCAAATATTAACAATACTTTCACACAGATTCTATTTTACAGATAGCTGTTTTATACAAAAAAAATGTGGTTTCTCAAAATAAGTTCAAGGTCACACGGGAGCAAAGTGGTTATTGCTCTTAACTTGCAGCAGAAACATCATCAGTACAATCCCCAGAGGCAACTTGATCAAAACATGGACGATTATGTTAATTTTTCACTCTACCTCGACTGAATGTAATTGTGAATAGTGGTTTTCTACATCTGTGTTGAAGGCTGAGGTGGCATAGAGAAATGAAAGAAGTAAAAGTAGTTCATGGTACCAAATGGTGGCGGTGCCAACATTCAGACATGCACATGCACAGAAAAGGTAAAAACAGGAAACAGGAGAACCATGTAAAAAAGGGTGTCATTTTCATTCTTTTAAAAATACACCAAAATGAAGGTCTAAAAATATGAAATCGTCTGCTTCTCTCTTGGGAGTAAATGGTCTGCATCTGTGTGTATTTTCAGACTGTGATGTGCCCAGGCCTTTCTGCAGCACTTAACGCAGCTCAATAACTATTTTTTTCTGCTTCAAAAAAGGTTGAGAGGAAATGGACTCTTATTCAGGACTATTGCAAACTCCAGGTAGTTGACAGCTTCCTTTTACAAGTGTCGAAGCTGAAGTTTTGGACATCATTCAAGGTCAGAAGGTTTAAATTAGCAATTTAAAACAAAAAGTCACACAGCCAAGTTAAACTTGTGCAACGCCAACTGCAGAATATTCTATAACAAAAATGAGAACCTCCACTTACTTGATAAATGCTTTCATATTACGTTTCTACATTTAATCTCTTCATTGCCTTTAGGTTCGCACAACAAACCCACTCTGATGGCAGCGTTCTCCCCGTCTGAACCGAGGTGCACATGACTGATCTCGTGTTTTCAGGTGCTTTGGCGTGATGGATCTAACTTCTGATGTGGAGCCAAAGCGCTTGACTGAACTGCGGTTTGAATCAGAAACACATGAGTGCGAATTGAAGCCTAGTGAACTTGCACATGAGGGAAACATTTTTGAGATTAGTGACAGACCTACTGCTCTCACAAAGACCAGAAACAGCAACAGAAACAGTGACAAAGCACAAAAAAACGAGAAAATGGTCTACATACGGTCCCACTTCAGGCCACAACATTCAACGAAATGTTAAAATCATCTTAACATCTCAACCAATCCCATCATGATCCAGTGAGGCGGTTTTTAATAGATGCTGACATACAAACAAATCAAAACTTTGTTCATATGAAATACATTAATCCGTGACTATTTTATTTTACATTCAATCAGACGCCTGCAATGGTTGACATTTATCGAAAAACCATTAGGAAACATATCAGCGGAACAATAAACCTCATTGATTTGCAAAACTGCTCAACAGCCAGTCCGTAATCGGGTTTTTATGAAATATGCCAGAGTAAAAACGACACTGAAAACAGACCACCAACTAATGCGACGGTACAGTGCTGGAGTCCAATCTGAAGCTGACATATGTGAGCCGCAGCAGACAGAGCTGAGTGTGTGGTCAGTGGTGCGTGGGGATCAGGCAGCCTGGTGTCTCAGCTGATGAAGTGGGAATGAATTTGCAGAACCAACTCTGAAGCTCTACTTTCACACTGGCAGCAACGCTTGACTGCGCAAACCACACTCTGATATCAGGCACATTTAGAAACAAACGCACATGCTGTCGCTGATAAACACAGACTTAATAGGTTTCCTACAAAGTATTTGGATGGTGCTATAAACCCACAGTGCATCAGAGTAATCGCAGTCCTCTTTTTGTACCTGTTTTACACTGACATTGTACACAAACTCTTGAAAGAAAAAGGTAAATAACACTCAAACTTGTGACATCATGGGTGTTTCAGTCAAAGCTGCAAGAAAACAATAACGTCACTGACATCTTTTGAAGATACCGATGAGTGTCATTTAGACAGAAAACTAAGCCACTACTGAAAAATTTTGAGGCAATGCGTGGAAAAAGTTATTCTAAGGAGGACCAGGCCAAGATTATAATACTTAAATCTGAAGGTGAAACATTTGAATGTCAACAAATGTCCCGCCCTCATTGAAGTTATTCCACTCAGGCAAATGCAAGGCTAAGTCAGGTTTACAATAGGACACGTCTCTCAGGCTTCACAACAGCTTTGACGAGTTCTATCATAATATCATTAGTATGTACAATTAATCATCACATTTTCAAATTATGAAGCCTATAAAGAGATTTTGATCTAGATCCATCTGAAGTTTCTATCGTTCAAATTCAGGTTGTGACTTTACATATAAACAGGTGATAGAATTTTAATTTCACTAAGGGAATTTCCCAAAAGGATAAATAAAGTTTTATCTTATTTAATCTCATAGATTATAAAATGTTCTGCTGGCAGTGATTAAAAGGAATAAGACAGTGAGAAAATGAATGTGCTGACCTAATTTCTTTAAACACACGTACGACATCTGCGACTTAAGCACATATTTTAGTCCTTCTCAGGCCATTTTATCAACTCAGATTACAGCACAGCTTTGAGCCCAATGGGACGCTCCATACAACGCCATAAGGTTACACTACGGACTACACACCACTGCTGCGAAAGATGAAGTAAGCCATGTGTTGGATCCTGCTTCAGTGTGTGTGTGTGTGTGTGTGTCTTCCCATTACCTGCTGCTACCACCGCCCGGGGACTCCGATCCAAGTCTGCATCTTTCCAGCTGATTGGCCACAATCTGCCTCTCCACTTCCAGCTCCCTGGTTAGCCGCTCAAACTGTAGCTCCTGTGGTATGAGAGGAAAAAAAAAGTATTAGAAAGAGCTTCATGGGTTTTAAATGACGAACAGGGTTTTTGACTGCTTTACAAAAGGAAACGTTGAGAGTAATTTTAAAAAGTTCTCAGACAGATGCTATGATTTCGAAATGTGTTTTAGGCTTTTTAGGCAGAATATTAGAGTGAAGATCACATTAGATTTTCAACCAAAGCTGAAAAAAAAACTATGAAAATTATTAAAGTTTTGCAACTGATTTGTTAAAAGAATTTCCGTGACATGTAAGAAGATTTGAAAGGAACTCAACGTTAATCTTTGGTCCAGGCGAAGGCGTTTTGACTTTAATGAAAGAAATGTAGAGAAATGGCTTAGTTATTTTCATAACGGAAGATTTGCTAAATCGGTTTTAGAACTTTTTGACTTTCGCTCACCACGTTAACAGAAATATTTGGAAACAATACATAGAGATTTTGTCAAACTGACAGTTTGACAGTTTGCCCAAGCAATGATGTGCTTCAACTTCGATCAAGACAAAGCTCACAACTCTGCAAATAAGCCATCCTTGAGGGAAATATTAGCTCACGACGTGCATATGCACGAATTTGGAAAAAGAAACACGAGCTATATGGTACCACAGTTATTTCTGCCCACACGGAGAAAAGAGCGCCACTTCAATCTTTATCCATAATGTCTCTGGCTGTTCCTATGGGAATTAAGTAGAACTCAGAATTTGAATAATTATCTGGACTGAGTGAGGCCATTACCTGCACAGCTCTCCAGTTCCAGTCACTGTCTCACGACATTAAGACATGCCAGAAGGCCCTTTATGCTCAGATAAATGATGACACATACAGTCATTTTCTCACCACAGGTACAGTGTTTTATTCAGCCACACCACTGCCTCGGCTGTATAACGAATATCTGCACTCAAAGGTTATATCCGGGCAAAGACGCCTCACTCACCATAAGTCTGTGCAGCACCGTTAGAAGAAACCTTGCCTTGGAGCCTGTTGTTGTTCCATGTAATGTCATTTACCTCGTTCAATTGCAGCCACAATGGGCAACATAAACACACACACATACACACACAAACCAAGGAGATGCTTTTCTGAGTTGACTGTAAAGTTTGGCCAGTGTTGAGAACTAAAAGCCAGCCTACTTTTCACACTTACTCTCCCAGTGTTCCCTGGGGGTGGGCTAAGACTTCCCTCAGGTCATATACACAGCATCTACACACCCTTCCCCCAAAAGCCCCTCCTTTATATCCTACACTCCCCTCTCTAACCTGTAGATGTGAGAAGTTTGAGTGTGGTGAGAAAACTCAGGAGCAAAATAGGACTCCGTCGCAGAGGTTTAATGAGGCCAGCAAGTATTTCCACTGAATGTATTTTTAATGAGCTGTCACTAGGAGTTGAGATTCAAGTTATGGTTAACATTTGAGCTATTATGGGCCTCACTTGAACTTATGTCACTGGTCAACTCCTATTATCATCCAAAAAATGCTATTTTGTTTAAATAACAATAACTTTAAAGTGTTTGCTATTTTCCAAAAACTCAGAATGACAGATCTGCTCTAGGGTGTAGCATTAGTTTAGCCACCGTTTAACTGGTTGTTCTGAGCCAGTTTTGTTTTAAATTGTACAGCAGTATTACAGTATTTCTGAGTTAGCTTTTTATATCTCTTTGTATCAGTTAGCTATTTATTTCTGACTGTTTTCTATTGATGACTTTGGGGTATTTTCTGTTTCACTAAATGTGTTACATTTAGATATATAGATAGATGGATTAGCAGTATTTTACCCTTATCAAGTTGACATGAAAAACAGTGAATGGCTGGAATCCCGGCGAGAGCGTAAGATCTTACTCATGTTCCGCCAGAAAGTTCTTACAGAACCACAAGCCACAGCGATAGCATCTGTCCCCGTGTGTGGCACAACAAAGATGAGATAAGATCACCTGCTTTCAAAACAAGAAAGCAAAACTTTATTTATATTACACATTTCAATCCAAGAGCACGGAGACGTGAATGAAATGTCTGACAGACGAATTACAGCCGTAGAGCAACAGGTAATGGTGTGGTGTGGTCCATGATGTGGTTATGGTTTGATGAGTGACACCACAAAAACCACAACAAAAAGCGAGCAGATCGCTGTGGCTGCTCGTCCTCTGATAACATTTGCCTTTTGGCGTTTGTGTAACCAAAAGAATTAGTCCCAAATTTGTTCACGTGGTGGTGTCCGCACTACATCTGTTTGAACAACAGCAAATAATAAGAACAAATCAACACTGAACGTCTACACAAAGCAAAGGCCTTCAAATGCTGCACTGAGGGAAGGACGTAATGAAAAGCAGCTGCAGGAAATGTTTAGTTTGCATTAAGAGCAACGTACAGCACCAATTACAGCAATACAGTACAGATGTGGTCAAGCTGGTGTCTGTTAGAAAGTAGCACCAGGAACAGAAATGACAAACTGCACTTCAACCGCAATAATAAAGCGAAAGTACAAAGCTTTATACGCAAGTCAATGATAAAGGACAATTGTCTGTGATATCACAGGCTAATGAAAAAAAAACAAACACATTTTTGAAGGTTTATTTGTCCATTTTAAAATTTTATGGTATCATTTTGTGTTACATGTTTCATTTTATTATACAGAAAGGTTGTATTTTTGATATTTATGGTCCAATACAGGTCAGCTCAAAAAAGCGGACACTGCAGGAGAGAAAAAAAACAGGCTTCATTCCAATGTCGTTTTATTCCTGACAAATAGGCACTATCCAGCCATCAGTGTGTGTGTCTGTGTGTGTGGACAGGCTAAAGATACACACTGGGAGCAGGACAGAGGCTGAGTGGCTGTAATACTGATTTACTAACAAAGGGAAAGGCCCATCAGTCCTCTGTGTGACAAACATCCCTGCTGAGAGATTAACTCTCATGAAAATTGCCAATTTACAGCCCTTCATTCCGAACAATCCCTGACTCTATTCTTAGTTTTTTTTTTTTCAAAAAGAATCTACATAGACATGGTCAGCGCACAAATTGCTGATGGTGTTCAGCCGTCGTGGCCGAAACATTAAGGAAAATGTTGCTACTATTATATTTGATAGAAAACATTAATTCATTTTCTATCACTTAATCATTCTCTCTTGGGGGCTAAAGCCGATCCCAGCAGTCGTGGAGTTACACCCTGGTGTTTGCCACCACAGGGTCACCTAGGTTTAAAAGTGGAGAAACTAGAGAATACTCTCACAAATCAGGGAAAACCAGCAACCTCCATAGAGGAAAAACCACTGAAACCAGCACCACAACCAGCACCACAGAAAGATCTGTCATTATCGGGGCTGGAACCGATGATCTTTTGACTGTTAGTCAAAAGAACTAACTCGGATTTTAGTTTCGTCTTCACTGAAGAAATGGCCCAATACTTGGATGTTTCTGCCCTATAACATGTGCCTGCTCCAGCAAGGTTGCTGTTGGTACAGCAAATCATTACAATATGAACTTGATGTAAAGAACCTTCTTTGTACAGATTTGACAATACATCATATGCTCTATCTGAAAATGATTTGATTTAAGCTTTGGGTTTTTCGTTCTGTAGCTTAGAGCAGCAAATACAGTCTAATTTCAAACATATTATTTTGTTACAGTTACAGCCTGTCAAATTGATCTCCCACTGCCCAATTTAAGTACAACATTGGTTTTCAAAATCATATTTCGATGCCTGCACTGTGTTTGTCTAAGGCTCTGTGCAGAACACAGCATCTGCTGGTGAATATTCAAACTTTCTGCCGAAGCGTCTTAAAGCATAACCTCGGGCACAAGGTAGCTTAACTTAATTCAAGTTTAGTAGAACATTTTGAATTGGACAATCCAAACATTTATGCTGTATACTGTGTGTCTGTTAACCCTGCAAGGATAGAGTTTTACACCATTGTTTTACCACACTGATGTCCAAACATGTTAGCATTATACTGAATTACAGTTTATGACAGTTTTAATCTATGACTGTCAGAGTCGTGCAAATGTTTTCCCCCCCAACTGTACGACACTTGGGTGCTGTGTGTGTTATGTGTGTTTCTTATCTGTGCTGAACCAGCAGCAGGGAGATATAATTTCAGGCATTTCAGATTGGTCTTGTGTTGTCAGCAGTACCATTGAAAGAACATGGGAGCGTGGATGTTGGCAGTGTGGTCTGCTGCCGTGTGTCATTAGTTTCTTTAGCCCCTGGATGATGACACAAACAGACAGGATCTGATTCAGCTCTCAGGACCAACACACTCATTGTGATGGCAAATAAAGGCTCTGGACTCCATGTTTGTACAGGAAGGCGAGCTGGACATTGTCCCTGCCCTCCGATTCCAGACTAAGCTTAGTGGGACCAAGTGTTGTGCCAACACCCATTAAAAAAGCATTAACTCTAGTTAGTGGTCATTTTTGTTGTGCTCTGCTTGACTCCGTGGATAATTACGCTTCGTAAATATGTCACGTCCCATGTATTGGTCAAGTGAATGAAATGGCATACATTTATAGAGCCGTTAGATGGAGCGTGGTTAATTTGATCCCTCTGGCTGATTCATCAGACCAGAGCCTATACTGGCACTGAGCTAGCACGAGTCAATTATGGATTTATTGACTCCATATTCACAATAGATTTAAAGAGTCATTCTGATTAAAGAGCTCCAGTAATTTAAAACGGTAATTACTTTTTTTTAAAATGTCAAAAAACCACTTTGAATGACCCAGTGATTCTACAGTTAAAATAAATCTCAAAGCAATTTGTTAAAAGACGGAAAAGACCTGAAGGAGAGAGTGTCACGCAGG